AAAAGTACTTGAAGAATTGCACAATATGCAAAAAATATCAAGGTCTCCCGCTTGGAGCTCCGATAATGCCATCGCTCCCTATAGACCGTGTTATAGTCACAAAACCATTCGAAAATACTGGATGCGACTATATGGGTCCATTTACGTCAAAAACTGAACAGAAAATGTACGTATGTTTGTACACGTGTCTTACAACACGCGCGGTACATCTTGAAGTTGTCGAAAATTTGACCACGGGAGCGTTTCTGGACAGCTTTACCAGATTTATCTCGCGCCGAGGTGTTCCAAAACTCATGCGAAGTGATTGCGGAACGAATTTCAAAAACGGTGAACGCTTAATCGACGCATTATTTGAAAAAGATGCAATTACGGGCTCCTCCGTGATGTCCTACTGCGCAAACGAAAGAATCAGATGGATATTCAATCCACCTGCATCACCCTGGATGGGTGGCGTATGGGAAAGACTCGTCGGTTCTGTCAAAAAAGCACTAAACAAGTCGATAGGTCGACGAAAATTGAGTTTTCCACAAATGTGTACGATTATCGCAAAAATAGAAGCAATTTTAAACACCAGACCGCTAACAAAATGCGATCCGGACGACATTAGTAAAATTCCACTACGTCCAGTTGACTTTCTGCAAGGAAATGTGAGATTTTCACTGCCAGATGGAATTTCGAGCAACAATATTGATCCAGATTACGATCCAACGGTCATACAAACCGAAAAACAAGCGTTGGAAGCAGTGAAATTCTCAGAAAACATTGCAGACAAGTTTTGGGAAACTTGGAAGTCACAGTATCTCATTTCACTACGAGAGATACAAAAAATCAAATACAAACAACCAAGACATCTGCAGAGAACTAACCCCGAAGTTGGAGAGATCGTTATTATCGAACAAGATCTCGTGCCACGAGGAAACTGGCCCTATGGTAAAATAGTAGAGATACTAACATCGTCAGATGGGCACGTTAGAACAGCAAAAATGCTTATGCCCAACAAAAGGATCATACAAAGGCCATTAAACAAGATATTTCCTTTGGAAATCAGAAGTTTCGACGAAAAACGAACCGAAAACGATAACTTCGTCACTGAAAATTCGCCAGAAATCGATAAATCACAAGAAGAAACAGACTCAAACAAGTCTCAACTTGTTAACGACCACCCAAGCACAAAAGAGGTGTCAGCTAATACAGAAACACGTCAAAACTTGAAACGTGCATCAAAAACACGAGCTTACGAAGTGATCAGAAACTTTGAAAGAAGCTTGGAAAATCTACATATTATCAAGTCAACATCAACACTACTCATGTTGACAATATTCTGCCTAATATCGTTTACTTCAGCACAAACGCATTCGCACATAATTTGCGAAGACGGCAAGGTCAACATAATACCAACGCGATCTCATTTTCGACTATGTTTCGATCAAGAGTGCAAAAACTATCAAAATGGAACAAATCTCACGTTTGCTCTACCAATTTCACCGCATCATGCGAAAGTGCAGGTGCGCATCCATAGTATAGAGGTCAACGAAACTTTTGAAGAAAAGAAATTCTGTGATCCTCCGCATTTTTGCGACCATCACATCTTTTTATCCAAAAGTCTCCTCGGAAATCCTCACTGCTGGCCAGCTGGCGCCATTGCAACAGCAGCAGTATTGATTTATCTGATTGCATTGACCATAATCATATTCATATGCACTATATCGAAGGTATTGAAAAGATTTCCAAAGAAACAGAACAGGAAAAACCAGAAAAACACCCCACAGATACAAAGAATCCTGTCGGTAAACGATTTTCAACTAGCCCCCTTGCCTTCAAGGATAGTGTGCTTATCTATACTGCTTTGTGCACTCTTTTCCAGCGCAGATACCTGCCAAAACGGCTATACGAGGGACAATGCTGAGCTCGTTTGCAAAGAAAATGCGGTTTGTCAACTACAGTACAACAGAGAACTGTACTTCAATAAACTGCAAACGGAACTTTGCATAGAAATTTTTCATGCTAACAAAACGATCGGAACCGCTAAAGTTACAAAAAAGTCAGTACATTTCAAATGTTCAAAAACGACAGAAAGTTTCACAAAAATAACGACGACGGAAATGTACCGCATAAAACGATGCTCCCAAGCTGGATCATGTTCGGTGGAAACATGTGAATCCATGAAAGCACACCACAACATTCCGGAACTCCGTGCATATTCCAGATATCCAGGCTATTCTGGATGTTATAGTAGTTGTGGTGGAATACTATGCGGTTGCTTCTTGGCACAGCCGGCTTGCACATTCTACAGAGTAATCCAGAAACCAACGAGTAAAATTGTCTACGAGATTGTTCGGTGCACACACTGGAGCCCATCGGTAACTGTTACCATTGAATTGAACATTTTTGGCAACAAAAGCTCACATACACAAACTTTTACACCTTATGTGACAACCACAGCACAAATGTTCAATGTCACCGTCATTTCCATACAAAAACCATCCGAATTGTTCGCAGCCAAAAGATTTGCGCTCTCAAACGACAATTCGTTTCTCTTGCCGGACACTTTCCGAACTCCTGTGGAGTGCAGTAGCTATGAACAAGCTAAAAATCGCTTTGGAAGTTGTCTGAGTACGCTACGATGTGAATGCAGTAACTCAGCAAGCAATTGTTTTTGTCCAGATCACACGTCACCACTTTTACGTAACGAAAGCGACTTTGTTATGCCTGTGGAAACGCCATTTGCGAAGCTACATACAAATGTTGACGAAATCATAGCGACTACAAACGAAGAAGAGGTGGTACTGCGATTGCAATCTCAAATCTTGCAAGATTCCGCAGGGTTAATGAGCAATCAGCAATGCATTGTGCATGCCTCAAACATTACAGGGTGCTATAATTGCAAACATGGCGCAAAGGTGTCAATAAATTGTGTATCGCCATCAAAAATTGCGGTTACAGCAATATGCAACACACAGCAATTCACTTTCATCTGCAGCGAAAACAGCGACTCTACAGAAGTACTGCTAAACTTCGACAAATCAATAGTAAACGAAACTTGCAACGTTTACTGTAGTGATCAGGTGACAAGATTTGACCTACGCGGCAACTTACATTACCTCATACATCTACCAAACTCTTCAATATTTGACCAAAACTCGCATAGTGTCGCGCTAAAGCACCAATGGTTCACGGACATAAGCATTCCGGACTTTACTCCGCTGCTCAATGTGGTTAAAAAACATTGGAAAATCGCCCTTGCAGCATTAGGTACTACGTTAGCTATAACAGCACTCACCTACTTCGCAGGGCCAATAGTTCTGTTATACATAGTAAAAACTGCATGGTGGTTCCTTACTACCACTATAAATGCGATATCCAACATATTGAGAAAAATAGTGTGCGCAAAGTAACGCAAAACACGGCAAAACAGAACTGTACATAGCTGTAAAAACAATAACTACTCACATAAAGAACATTCCCTATCATAAAAATACTCCACATTCGCCTTAAGCAACGTGAGGGGCCATAAAAAATGTGCTCAAAGATATGAGCACACTTCATACTCAATGATATGCACATATTTCCCCTCTAGCCATTATGCAGAGCATGCATAACTTTTGATGACCCCATAGGCAACTTGCGGGCTCTTCAAAAAATCCTGAAGAGGCGGTCTGATACGAAACCGTATAAATACAGGGCAAAAAATGAGGATATTCACCCAAGAATGTCTTCAACATCCGACATCCGTGCTGCCCTGGACGAGCTCGATACCTGCGATGTGTCGACGTTGGTGCATTTCCTGACACCCCGTCTGGACGCCATCGACAGTCGCCTGCGTCGCCTGGACGCCGTGGAAGCAGCCCTCCAGATGCTGCTTGATCGCACTCAGCCAAAGTCGAATTGTGCATTTTGCACATTCGAAGAGAACCGCGATCAACACATCTCGGGGCGGTGTACACGTTTCCCCGACCCCGTATCCCGCACAGTCCGAGCAACCAATCTCGGACTGTGCTTGAAGTGCCTCAAGCCCGTGCATGAGGACAATTGCGATTTTACCTGCAGCGGTTGTGGCCTCGGCCACAATTCGCTGCTGTGTAATCGCAGAAGGCCTCAACCGCACGGGCAGAAGAGGCCACGGAACAACTAAGAAGTCGCTGCCGCCATCCACGCCAAGCCGCCGTCCACGCCAAGCCGCCGTCCACGTCAAGCCGCCATCCACGTCAAGCCGTCATCCACGCCAAGCCGCCCCCATCCACGCCAAGCCGCCCCCCACCACGCCAAGCAGCCGCCATCCACGTCAAGCCCATCCACGTCAAGCCGTCATCCACGCCAAGCCGCCCCCATCCACGCCAAGCCGCCCCCCACCACGCCAAGCAGCCGCCATCCACGTCAAGCCCATCCACGTCAAGCCGTCATCCACGCCAAGCCGCCACCATCCACGCCAAGCCACCCACCAGCCGATCATCATGCCACCAGCCACACCGTCGAGCCGCAACGTCCCCCACGCCAACCACTTTCTACGAAGAAATCGCTGGAAGATTACATATTTTGCGTGCTGTGGTTTTGACACACTATTGTATTAATTTTTGTGGTCCCCCTGCTCCCCGGAGTATCATCGGTGACGATGATGTCTCCTCACGGGGGGCGGAGCGCGGCCCCGCATGTTGTTTTGGTGGCTTTGGCCCCCCTTAGTTGTTACTCGACATTGGCGATAACCGCCCCAATAAACGCTCGCCCTCTCAACTGTCTGTTTACCTCGAAGAATCCACTGAACCACCAAAAGTAAGTTTAACTCGGGTACAAATACCCAAGAGTCTCGCACAGTATACCCAATAAGAAGACTGATTACACTGATTTTAGAAAAGAAACATGCCTGAGTGAAACAGGAATAGCTTGCTCAGAAAAATTATATGAATGTATTAGTAAGCTCGTTAGATTAAATATAGATTCGTCGAAGGTCAGAGAGAAAAGCTTTCACCATAACCTTCCCGATAATATTTAGCCAATGAACTCACCTGAGGCGTTCTATTAGCGAGAAAATCATCTTGTCCTGTAGATCGGAAACTCCTTCTACTGCCAAAATCCATAGGCAGAAAATTCGCCGCAGTAAACTAGCACAGCAAAACGCAATAAAGATCCTCACGCCCAAACTGAAACTGGATATTTCTAGTTATTTTCAAACTACTACAATAAATATTGAGAAAATGAAATATTCCCGAATTCAAGTTGCCAGTGAGGAAGCTAGCTGGCACTATGTAACCGAATTTATCAAGCTAACGAGGTCCCTTCAACGATCAATTCCTCGATGGGATTTGGCACCACGCCTATTTTGCTGCAAGAGCTGCACGCATTTTGCGAATGCGGCGCGTTTCCATGCGACTTTGAATTCTTTTGCCGGTGCGACTTCACTTCCTTGTTAGGAATTCTTTCGTATTTTTTCTTTCCTGCACTTTGACAGATACGTTCTTTGAAGAATGTTTTGTACTTTCCATTCGCCAAGAAGACTCATCGGCATAATTGTTTCTTCACTTTTTTGATAGAAACGTTTGCGATTGGAAAGTTCATATCGATTGATAAGCTTGACAATGGATTTTGTGTGTTTAAATTTGCATTTTCATGCCTGGAGGTTTTCTTTCAGTGCTACTTTCAGTTCCTTGTCGTAGGATGGGACGCTTAGGAGAACACGGTGCTTTTCATGAAACTGACCACACACTGGTAAGGTTTCCACAATTTTTGATTTTGGGACGATTATATCTTTGCTCAATTTGATCCGTTTCCTTTATTTTGATATTCGTCAATATGATGTGGTTATCAAAGTGGGTGAGGCTCTTACGAGTATCGATTTCAGTCTTTAAAAATTTGAACAATGCGCTGAACACAAAATTGCAGTTAACATCTGATTTTGACGATTATGAGGCTCTGTACAACATCTTCTGTGATGAAGAGGATACGACCGTCAGAACGCCACCAGTGAGAGTATTGAGTTTTTTCTCTGTTCAGGACTGGTCAGATGGACCACTTGACGTTCTGCCGCGACCATTCTACTATTAACATTTATTGCTCAAAATAGAGATAGTAGGGCAAACATGTGTATGCTCAACTAAAACTTCTAATCTTTGCATATAAATGTCTCCAAACAAAGCTTACAATATCTTATTTTTTTCGGGATTGGGGCATATAGCTTTTTGCATTCTCGTTAATGAAGTTGTTCTCAGGCACCTGACTGTGGATCCCATAGCAACACCGAGTCAGACCGAGATGCGAATAATGACGAGATATCACCAAAGCCTGCCGAACTCACTGAAGGTACCTTGCATGTTTCGTGGTCCGCGCTGTTGTGTTGGGTACAAATGTGAAGTGCAAATAATCATTTGCAAAGCATTCGTTGCAAATGCCGCGCTTAATTTGTTTAGTCACATCTTTTGGAACTTGCATCTGCCAACTCACCCATTGGAATTATTCTTGACGGCAATATAATATATTGCAAAGAATTTCGCTAGAATTATTCTTGACGGCAATATAAAATATTGCAGAAGAATTTAGCTAGAATCTAGTAGTTTTCAAAAATGTGTTTGTGCTCATTGCCTGTACTCGTATTAGTTCTGTAGGTGTTATAGGATCGAGCGACGAGGAGCCGGCTGCCGGCGAAGGTCTTTCCGAAGAGGTTTACGAAGTAGAGAAAATTTTGGACCGAAATGAAGTCAACGGCGAACTTTTCTATCTGGTCAGTAGTGCATGCGTTGTTTTTGGAAGAGATCATACTGGATGATCTTTCGTTACAACTTAGACTTGTGATCACTCTCGTGGTTTAGGTTCGCTGGAAAGGATTCGGTCAAGAAGATGATTCGTGGGAACCTGTAGAAAACTTATCGCTTGCTGTGAAGGCTATCAGCGAGTTTGAAGAACACAGGAAATCAAAAAAGGGAAAGAAATCTAAGACTCCTAAATCGAAAGGGAAGTGCCCAAGAAATCCAGAGAAACCTCAGGGCCGATCTAGCGTCTCCAAAGATCAAAAGGAAAGTTCATCAAGGTGAGTCTTCATATAAATATTAAAATATTTTCAGTAGAAAAATAACTACGGATCAATATAGTCACTGTTCCTACTGTCCTCGTACTTTTGCATTTTCTTTGCCCTGAATGCAACCCTGCACATGACCGATTTGCTCCGTTGAGATCTCGGCGCTAAATCTATGAGCTAAACAATTTGATTTTCTCGTTTAGCAAGAAGAAATCAAAGTCCTTTCTTGATGACAAGACCGAGTCTGAGCCTGAGACGCCATCGGAGGATGACGACGATGAGTACATGGATAAGAAATCTTCTGCGAAGAAGTGGGCAGATTTGCTATTACCCAGCACTTCGCGTTTTTGTTTGATTGTTTTTAGGTCTACGCGGGCGTCAGCTTATTCAGGAACTGTCACCAAAGCAGCGTTGAAATCTTATTCTCCCACCACTACCAAAGTTTCCAACAATACACCGACAAGTGCTCGCATACAAACTGTGGATACAATGACAGCGGCCAAGAAGGTAATTTTAGTCATGTCTGCAGGCTTCGAAGGTGACTTCATGTTTACCTAAAAACGCGACGCTGTTTTTAGTGCAGGTACACATTGCACTTTATTCACAGATTTCTGTCGAAAAGCTCTGGTATTGGCGCATGTGAGCACTTTGGTAAAATGTAGCATCAAAGCCAAACCATCTGACGTCGAAGTTCAACAAAGCAGGCATGCAAAATGAGTTTTGCACAAATTGACATGTTTCATTGCTAGTAGATTGGTACCAAGCCAGAACTGCAAATCTCGACTCATTAGAACACGGAGGGAGCGCGAGGGGGAGGGGAGGGGGAGAATGTCTAGTATGCTGATTAGGGGATGACACTTGTGCATCCTTCTAGGCATATGTCAAACTTGATTCACTTCACCCACTTCATCCGCTTCATCTCGCCATTGGTCAATTAGTGAATTGACCAATGGCGAAGTGGATCAAGTGGACATTCGCTTCGCTATTGGTCAGCTCACTGATTTGGCCAATAGCGAAGTGGATGATGTGAATTGAGAGGACAATCTCTCCCTCTCCCCCCCCCCCCCCTCCCCTCCCTCCGCTACGTCACTTTTTTGTGGCATTGCTCGGTACATAGTCAACGAAGCTCTAAATATCTTGGTATGCTGTCGAAGGTGACAAAACGAGTTATATGCACGCTAACCACGATTGAGATTAATAGTTTTTCCCTCACAGCAGGTGACTATACGCCTATATCTATAATAATTTAACGAGCTGATCACTAAGACAAGCGCAGCTGTGACGAAGAAACTAGAGCATTGTGCAACACCCCGATTTCGTTGTTTCAACCAATATACAACGTGCACAACGTAGTCAAGCAGTATTAGGATTGAGCCCATCCGTTTGATGCTTGGCTTCTGGGGTTTTCATAATCTTCTTCGGTTGGAACAGTGAACAAATAGACCCTCCTCCAGGGTGAACTACCCGAGCAGGAAAGATTGGTGATGCTTTGGCTTTTCGTGCAATCGCGTTCATCACTATTTTCAAGCTGCGTCTTCACTATCTTATTTAGGAGAGATCTGCCGAATTGCAGGCTCTGCAAATGCGCCAGTCATGGCTTTATGATAGCGATTCCGACGATGATTCTGCTCCCGAAAAAGAGAACGAGAAAACCCGGGACGAAGCAAAGGAGAAACAAAAAAGTTCTGCGAATGACGTGGATAAGCCAAAGGCAGAGGAGGCTGAAAAGTCGAGTGAACGCAAACGTAAGGTAGAGGACAACAGCGCGGAGAAGAAGAGGAAGAAGTCCAAGGTATACTACTAGAAATGTGAGTGGGACTTCTTGTTTAACATGTATCATTCAGGTCGAGACTGTGAGTACTCTCGATAAACCTAGTATTGAAGAAGATGTATGGCAGAAGGTACAGAATGGTAAGTTATCCTGGCTAGTCGATTGATTTTGGTTTTGTTTAAAAATAGCGTTAGAGTGAATAGAACTGATGCAAAATCACTCTATTTTCCACCTATGGGACAGGTCCCTTAGGTGTCCTCGAAAAGACGGCGCTTTTTCGCCTGGTTTGCGTTATCGAAGGCAATTGACTGTAAAACACGCTTGTAACAGGGCGCAGTATATCTTTGAGGGCTTATTCTGGAGACCTGGAGTCACGCATATTTGAAGTATGAGAATCATTTACCTCCTTTGCATTAGTATAGACGAAAATGTAAGCATTTGATTGTGGATTTAGTCTGGACTGGAAACTGTAAGCCTTTGATTTTTTAGTCTTAAAATCTCATTAGAAGTTCAAGAGTAGGAGCTATCAAAAATCATTGTAGTTCGAAATGTATGAACGTTTTGAACATGAACAAAGCGAATTTGTGTCTCATGTGGCAAAGTGAATGAAAAGAGAAACCAATGACTTTCCAGAAGCCCATTCTTCTCTGTCAGCTAGCATTTTGTCAGTCGTTAACAGCACTCGTTATGTTTTTGTACTAGCTTCGGCCTCATATAAATAGAGTTGATAGTGGGTCAGTGAACCGGGCTGAACTTTTGCGCATCTTTTGCAAGTTTGGAAGTTCTCATATCTGTAGCGCTGGTGTCAAGAATCAAAGCTTTGTGGAATAAAAGTTACAGTTCTTGGTAGTGAAGCAGGGGTGGACGGGTTGGGTAGGATCTTTGGTAAGCAGATGTAAGTCTTCCTTCAACGGTTTAAATTTTCATTCGCAAGGAGGGGCTCCACACCTGACTTGCATTAGTTTAGGGTTAAAAAATGCTTTTTCTCCGGAATTTAGGCTCACTGACTTTAGTGTTGCGAAGGACCAGCAAATCGGGAAGTTTGCGGGAGGATTCATTTTTATCTCGTAAGTCAGATTTCGAATCATATGGGATCGCTTGTGTTAACTTAGCGTTTTGTCAAATATCAATCTCCGCAAAAGTTAGGGATAGTCTGCAGCTGATGTAATGGCTTCGCCCACGTAGTAATACACATCATTTTGACTGCATTTTTCAGACGGAGGTTGACGCGAGTTTGCCAGGTAAGTTTAAGTTGCAGCCTGCTTGTTGTAGATCGAAACGAAAAATCTCAAATGGAAAAATTTCATTAATAAAAGTATTAGTCGCGACGATAAAGGTGAAGGAGCTTCTCCTTACGAGAGTGCATGTAAGGTATATGTCTCTTCAAAAGCGGTATAAAAACAGATGAAAATGAATATCCCTATCAAATTTTTATCACTAGCGCTGCAGTAGCACGCTGGAAAAGTGTTCAAGCATATTCTAGATTACTGACATTCCTTCCTCCAGGTGCAACAGCAGCTCCATCCACTAGTGAGGATGGTCCGCATCTGGATCAGCCTGAAATCGTCGCACTCGCTCAGGATAAAGACGGTCGAGTTAGAGTACTGATTGGTCAAGACGGCGTGAAGAAAGTGGTTTCGTTGCGAGGTAATTGCTGATATTTTTACATCTTCCCAAGCTTTGTTCAAAATCGTAATGACCATATTTTTAGATGCCCATGACGCTAACTCCTGGGGACTGGTGCAACACATCCTCAAATTCGCTCGCTTCACAGATTTTGGACACTAATGACAATTCATATCATCCATTCCATTTTTGCAAATCATCTCAGCGTCAAGTAACCATTTATTTGAGATATCTCGTTTTTGCGACTCTTTTGTTAACCTCACAGTATCTAGTAGTCTCTACTAATATGGTATGTTACATACCAGCAATTTTCGTGTTTGTGTAAATGCTACAAGCCTACTCACATCACAACTATGCATAGTTTTTGTTTTGTCAATTTATTTGTGTAGGAGCAACAGCTGTGACGATGTGAGCGCATCATAAGAGTAATTAGCGAAAGGTGTATGACAGTATCGTGATCCCAAAAATTCCTGGAACTATCTGAGAACGCTCTTCTGCAAAATTCAGTTATAGTCATTGTTGAAACAGAATGTCATATAATGATGTCACATCTCAATTCTATGCGGAGTTTTGTTTGTTTGGTACAGTTCTCAAGAATGCTATATTGTTTGGGTTATCGATCACAGTTTTTGGGATCGGGATACTAAGGCTTCCAAGGAGCTATAGGTTTGATGTGCTCATGTGAGTAATAGGTCATAATTTTGGTCGCCCCTGTGCTATTCGAATTCTATTCTCATCCGTAATTGTTCGCGGCTCAGAAATGGTCCGCTCATGATCTTTTTGTCAGCGAAATTGCTGATTTGTGTATCTTACGAAGTATTTTTGTTTTTGGTACATTTCTTCTGGTTATTTTTGCATGTTATCACCAGTGTAGACTTTTGTATGATAGTTCGCTTAGCTAGTAAAGTATTTTTTGAAGAGAAGACTTTGTATCATCTTTATGAATAGTAGAGAAACATCCAGTATCTTCAACGTCTGCGCTCTCCACGCCCCTGCACGGGGTGCGGGCAGGGTCAAGCTTGTGATGCGACTGTCGCAACGGGGGGTCGTAAGAGGGTATCCAAAGTGGGGGGGGGGGGGGGGAGGGTGGTTGTAAGAGGAGGTAGCTAGGCTAAAATAACCTAGGCTTCAGAGGGAATCAAAAAACAGGCAATTGGTTATGTTCTTTACAATGAATTTATAAAAAAGTGGAAATCAGAATAAAAAAGACAAAAAATCTGTAAAAATTCTCAAAAAAACATTTGCAAGAGCTCAAAACACTTTTGAAGGATGCATTATTTGATAAAAATGCTAAATGTACCGATTGCCCTAGAAATCTTGTTTCTGAAGCCTTCCTGAAGCCTCACACACTTGACAAAAGCGAATGTTTTTACCAGCTGTGACCATCATAAAATTCTAAATCTTTTGTAATGTTTTTCACGGGCTCATATGATTTATCTGTACTTTTGAGATGCTCCGCTATATCAGTGCAAAATTTGGTGTTATTTTGTCAACTGTGGATTTTCTTATGATTTTATGTATGGTAGCAAAAAGTCAGGAAAGGGGGGTCGTATCTGGGTCGCATCTAAATTTCTTCGGAGCTATTGAAGCTTGTTGGCTGCAATTCTGCTGTAATATGAGGCCATCCTCCTACTTTCCCTCATAAAAATTGCAGACTGTTTTATAACTTCTCTGGTAAGTTACAAAATTTTAAGCTCAAAAATCCCAGTTTTTGCTTTTTAGGATCGCATCTAAATTTGCGAGAGTCGCATCTAAATTTTTTCGAGCTTACTGCTCCTCAAGAGCTGAAACTTTTTCTTTGGATAGTCTGGGCACTATACTACAGAACCTGTGCTTTGCAGCCTAAAGTACAGATAAATCATATGAGCCCGTGAAAAACATTACAAAAGATTTAGAATTTTATGATGGTCACAGCTGGTAAAAACATTCGCTTTTGTCAAGTGTGTGAGGCTTCAGGAAGGCTTCAGAAACAAGATTTCTAGGGCAATCGGTACATTTAGCATTTTTATCAAATAATGCATCCTTCAAAAGTGTTTTGAGCTCTTGCAAATGTTTTTTTGAGAATTTTTACAGATTTTTTGTCTTTTTTATTCTGATTTCCACTTTTTTATAAATTCATTGTAAAGAACATAACCAATTGCCTGTTTTTTGATTCCCTCTGAAGCCTAGGTTATTTTAGCCTAGCTACCTCCTCTTACAACCACCCTCCCCCCCCCCCCCCCCACTTTGGATACCCTCTTACGACCCCCCGTTGCGACAGTCGCATCACAAGCTTGACCCTGCCCGCACCCCGTGCAGGGGCGTGGAGAGAGAGGGAATGGGTGGGGGGGGGGTCGAACGGATGGGTACCCTCAAGGGGGGGGGGGGGGGTCGTAAATGAGGGTCCCGGATCGCATCAGCACGCTTGACCCTGGGTGCGGGCACTCTCAGCGTGTCTGCTGCGAAAATTCGGGAGAGTTCTCGAAGTGATGCGAATGTGTTAATATAGAGTCACCGACGGTTGCCAAGCTATTCTTTTCAGATCCTCGTCACTGCTTTAGTTTCTTTGTGAGATCACATCAGCTATTGCGAAGCGATTTCTATCTCTGGCGACTTTTATTCTTTTTGATTGTGAGGATCTGTAATTTTCCGTTTTCTACAGCTCTAGTCTATATCTCAATTTACTGGTAGTTTCTAAATGCGGTATTGGAAGATAGTAACTGTGTATACCGTAGTAATCTATTTTTGCCAAAACGGAAAAGTATTAATTGCGCTCTAAGTGCATGCAAATTGCTATTGAATTACCTCGCAAACTACAATGTCATTTGCAAATACAGTTGATAGTATTGTGTGCAATAAAGTGGAGGCTCGTGCAGAAATAGTTTCCACTGTCAAAAGGGTGGTTTTTTAGGCAATCATTCTTCACTGCGCAGACGACAACTTTCAGTAACAAAGCAGATGGAAGTAGTAGGGAGAAAGTAGGAGGAGAGCGAGGAGCGGAATGTATAGAGTTTTCAAAAAGGGAATAGAAAATTGTTTTGGTTCCAAAAATTTTGTTTTGCCGATTTGTCGCTCTTGTTTGTCATTATTTCGTATTGAGAAGTGCAGTTTTAACCAACCATGAATGTTTGTTTCAGCCTCCCCGTCTTTCATTAGTAAATCACAATAAATATGTCGGGCGATAGTGTACCTGACCACTACTGGAAAAATCTGCTAGCAATCACTACAAAAGCAACTTCTGAATCGCAGAATAATGCGGATGTCACACCAAGACCGATGAGCGAGGAGGTAAGAGGCTTTATTATTAGGTTGGTGCAAAAGTAATGCGCGTTTTGCAAGTTTTTACTTTGACATGCTATAACTTTCTAAAAAATCCATATTTTTCAGTGCGGCAAAATTCATTAGAGGCAGCAAACCTCTCTCTATACAGCGCACATTAACTTATGTTAACATCGCAAATCGGTGGAAAAATGTGGATTGATAAGCAAAAAAAATTCTTTTCGGTAACCTCGTTTTTAACTGATCATAACTTCCTTCAAGAATTGTCGGTATAAATGATAAGTTGACTGTCTTGTAGCCGCAAGCCAGTAGTACAAAAAAAGTACAAAAGGACTCAAACAAAGAACTTCTGCGAGAAGGAAAAGAATATTATTCAAAATTGTCCGCTTTTTTCGACATTTTTTCGTAGCCCTCAAAATCCCAAAATATGGAGATTTTTAATTTTCTGTGTACTGAACAGCTTCCACATTTCTGCAAAAACTGTCAGCAGGAAGCCCATCCCTACGCTTACAGAAATGAGCAAAACTTTGGCGATTGCCTTCTTCAAAGGAAATCTATAGGCCACAGAATGGCCAAAACCATCACTCCTGCTGAGGTGCCGAGATCTCAGTCTAAGTAATCTCTAGGAAAACAGTAAAGCATGCATAACGTAGAAAATTTCTACTACATGCAGCGGTCAAATTTTCAAATGAATGCCTTAACTCGCGCTTATATTCTGGTCGGAAAAGTAGGTGCAATGAAATTCTGGTTTTAAGTGCGGTTGTATGAAGCTCTATAAAGTTTTAACGAATGAGGCTAGAAGCATCTCTCAACCACCGTTGAATAGAGCATGAAAGAAGCTTCATGATAGTGTGTTGAGTAAGTTTCATCGGAGAAACTTTTATGGAGAAAAACTATCTTGAAACAAGGGCTAGAAAAACGCGCATTACTTTTGCACCAACCTAATAGTTTTTGCTTTCTTCTTATCATTCTAGATGTTCATTAAATGATCTGGCAGATTTGCTTGTTTCTGAAAAAAATTTATATATTTTCTTAATGGGGTACTTTTGCTTCAACAGAATCGGAAATGGCTCGAAATGGTCATGGAAGACCTGGTGAAGGAGAGTGATCCAGGTCGACAAATGGATGCTATCCTGAAAAGTTTGCATTCGTATGCTTCGAGCATCTCAGAATTGACTGAAACTGACATCGAAAAGATCTATGTAAGTTCTGTTTTGTTTTTCTTCTATCATTACTTACAATTACAGGAACTTACGGATCACCTAGATGACATACTTGGTTATGCGGAGATCACGAATAGTTTCGTGGCAAAGGGAGGCTTGCTCATCATCGAAACTTTTATGGTTGGGTCTTTCTGAAAATGCTTCAAACGAATTGAATTTGATTTACAGTGTCAACGACAACACTTATCCTTGCAATGTCGTTATGCAGAACTTGTGCTCAGTTTGACTGAAAATAATCCACAAACGCAATCACTATTCGCTAGAGAGGGTGTTCTTGCAAAACTGCTAGAAATTCTTGCGGACGACACATATGATGAGGTATGTATCTACTCACTATAATTATTCTGATAGTTTCTCGCTATACCATATGATCTTTATAAGGTGTTCCATGTTTGATCGATCAGGGCACATCGATTAAGTTGTTTTAGCCAATAAGGTAATAATTTGGTGTTGGCTAAATGAATGAAGTAACTTGATCTTTGAATGAGTTATCACGCAAGTTCATCGCCTCGCGATCTTCAGTATGACAACTGTTACGATTTCGTTGCATTTCGATCCTTCTGCATTTCGATTGTGGTAGTTCTCCTACACGTCTAGTTGTGACTATCACAGCGAAATGGAAGGTGATTGGCATGCAATGGACGCGTAGCAGTTGTCTTGTCGGGAAAATCGCGAGGCGACGAAATCGCGTGAACAGTGCCCGAGGCCTTATGAGACTTGTGATAATCATTGTGTGGCTTTTCTTTCGTTCGCTTGAGGAAATATCCATCTTCGCTGGCTAGCAGATAAGGCTTGCTTCGGGTTGAAATCCAATTTTACATGAACTAAGTTCTCTATAATGCTCTTTCAGCGATTTCTCTTCAAAGTTCTTGGTGCGGTATCCGGTTCTGTTCGTTCACACATCGAGTCGTTTGAGTAAGTTACACTGTTTGCACTGCATTCATAAGGCTTTCGTTATAAAATATATTTAGAATATTTCGCGCCAGCGGTGGTGTGGAGCTTTTCTCGAAAATTGTTGAAAGAGCTGAAAGTGGAAAACTAGCTGGAAAAGCTGCTCGTGTGCTGACGAGTATCGCCTACACTTTAGTGGATTCTCGTGAGTTGTTAACTCTGATGCTGTGAGCCTTTGTACAAAAAAGTGTTCCAGCCTCGCATGTCAAGTTGCTCGTTTTTGACATATTATCCAACTTTCTGTATGTCTTGCAGAACTTCGCGAATGAATGTAAAAGTGAGCTGGATTATATAGGGTGGGTGCGATTGTGTTGATGCCTCGACTACTTGCAATTTCATCGTTTTCAGCGAATACATTCTTGATTTCGTGGATATCAAAGCAATACCAAAGGAACTAGCAAAAGAGATGGCTGCTTCTCTCGAATATTTGACGGTGAGTTTCAGATATTGTCCGGTTTCCCATATATGAGTTATCTCACAATTATTTTCCCCGTTGTAAGTTCAAAATTTTCTTGAAAATTTCACGTTTTAGGTCGACATCCCTGTGAGCGGATCTTTGGTCAAGAAACTCCGTGCCGTCACCTAGAGCAGCTGCAGTAAGAACCTCTATAAGATGTCCGGACGAAGGTCTCATGCAAACAAGTGATCTGAAGCGCTAGTCAGTGTTGTAGCGCAACTGAAGGCCATTTTACCTCAGTAATGTGATTGTAATTGTTTTTCTGAGTTTCATTCTTAATAAATTGTAAAGAACACGTCTATAGTTGTTACCAAATACAGCTCAATCTCACCGTACAGAGACGACGTTCATCCACGGTTGTCGCACTCCTGATTTAATTCTCATATAAAACGGTCACCTCGCGTGACAGTGGTTACGGGGGTAAAGTCCAAATTCATTGAAAAATGCGATGCATAAGTCGTAGTTGAGACGCGATACAAAAAACGAAGAAGCTTTTCAAATTCTCGCTGAAAGCAGATTTCGGACGACGAAAGAGTGCCAAGAAGTCCGAAAATTATCTTGTTAATGTTTGTGCTCCTCTAAATCAGTTGGATAGCAGAAGCCTTTCAGAGCATTGTGCTAGCTGTGAACAGTACTATTTCACTGGTTTCTGAGGTCCACATGATCCATTTAAGGAAATGTATGAAAATCCGACTTGGGGAGAGACTGCTCCTTTGAATCACCGTTCACTGCAGTAATCTAAGTCGCGAGCGCGAGCGATGCGTTTGCGGATGAGTTCCGCAGCGCCTACCTGTAAATTCTCCATACCTTCATGAAAAGCTGCATAAGTTAGCAGATTAGCTTAGAGCCAGATTAGCTTTACTCTAAAGACCATGAAAAACCAGGGCAATCTAAGAGGTCGTGTCCGAGTACCATATCCCTTGAAATGGCTTGCAAAACAACGTTTTTCAATGGATACCCCGCCATAAAATAACTTCACGAATCCGTAAACAACCTCACGGGTTTTTTAGATTAGTTTGGCCCTACCAAAGCATGAAGAGGTCAGGCCAATCTATCAGGTCTATCGGAGTACCATGTCTTGGATATAGCTTGCAAAACAATGATTCTCAAGGCCTAAGGCATACCTCGCGCGATTCCTGTCGCTGCGCGATTTTGCACAATAGCGACTCTCTGTAATTCGTCGTTAATGCGTTTCATTCGGTCAGAACTTAACCCATTTGCAACAACTTACACAAGGTACCCGCCTATGCGTTCGAGAAGCGCGCACAATAAATTTGTAAAATCTGGCAAATCGCCAAGTCGCGTGAAAGTGGCGATTTGGCCAAATCGCGTGAGGTATGCCTTAGGGCTAATGGATACCCCGCCATAACTTCTCAATAACTTCACGAATCCGAAGACGACCTCACAGGCTTTTGGATTTAATTTGACCCTATCGAACAGTGAAGAGGCCAGACTAATCCATTAGGTCGTATCAGAGTACCATGTTCTTGGATATTTTTCTGTCAAACACCACTTAGTCGATGTTGAGACCCCAAAGTCCGAGATTTCGTCCTGCTTACCGTATATTTCGGAAGACAGCAAGGCAGTAAAAGGGCTAGTACATCAAGTGGATCTAAAGATTGGGTAGGAGTCGTAGATGTACCTCCTCCTAACCTTAGGCCTCGGGCAGAGTTCACGCGATTTGATCGTCGCGATTGATCGCGACAAGACAACTGTAACCATATCATTGAATGCAGATCTTCTTGCATTTCGGTTGTGATAGTTCCCCAACACAACTAATCGAGACTAACCATCATAACCGAAATACAAGAAGATCGGCATGCAATAAACTCGTAACACTTGTCTTGTAGCGATTAAACGCGACAATCAAATCGCGTGAACTCTGACCGAGGCCTTAGGCGTCAGCTCGTATGTAATCGCGCTTATGATTGGCTATGCATGACCCCAGGGTGTGTAATATATCCATTCGGCAAGGAGTGAGACGCACGGTGTAGAGAGTAGTGTACTACCTTATCACCAGACATGTGGAGGCACATATATGAGCGAGACGGGGCGCCTCTATGTACAAGGATCAAGGAACATCTAGATGGGCTGAAAAAGTCGAATACGGCAACTTTACTGGCCACGCACCGCAAGCACTTCCATAATGACGACATGCCTGTAGAGGTCGATCTTAGCACGCGAATCCGAAATCTTAGCCCGCAAGACAATAGAAGCGTTTTGGAGCCGCCAAAATTCCAATTTGAATGAAAAGGATGAGTGCATACTATCATTAAAGAGTTGACCGCTTATCAAAGCATTTGTGGCTTCTGAGATTAAGTGCTACGTCATTGGGTACTATATAAAGATGTTGGAGTTTAGTCACTGGTATACGGTCGACCAAGCAGTCATCAGCTGTTTAGGTAAGTACTAGTTTAATTCTGCATTTATCTTTGTAGCTCTTGGTTTTTTGACGCATTGAACGTCTTTTCTGAGTCTTGATGCGGTTTTTGACAAGGTAGGTCACCTACGCATTCGACAATTTCAGACTCTAAAGAAGGCGATATAGCCGAAACGTCAGTCGGTAAAGAAGTTACTAATCCGGTGTGCAGCTCAAGCTATCTTGAGGTTTCTGCCACATATACCCTCAATATCAATCCATATGCCTTTCCTCAACATGAAGTGGATTTGGATTGATAACGCGCCACCTCGCTTCAGGCTTGGGCCACGTTGCGCGCGCCTCTTTGGCGTGGCGTGGCAACAAGAACAACATGAGAAAGCCTGGGCCACGTTGTTTTAAGCGCCACATCATGCCAAAAGATGCGCCCGCAACATGGCGCAAGCCCGAAAGAAGGCGACGATATTATTTTGGAGCGATATTCCACTCCCCCACAATGGTCGGTCGCCTCATCGTGGCGTGGGGGTGACACTGGGTGTCGAACTGCGATGCACAGCCGAGTGTATACTCTGGTAAGGCCTCCCAAGCTGTGTAGGAGTTCGACGTTTCTGGTTTCGGCCGGATGCCTAGCTAAGAACCGGCCACGCCAGATCCCCCGCCGTCTGGCTTCTTCTGGTCGCTAGGCGGTCCCTCCCCGCTCCAAGCCCGGGGTCAGCGATCGCCCCATGGAAATCAAGAGTAGGCCTAGTAAGCCACCTCTTGTAGGGGAAAATTCATATTACTCCTCCAGTCAGAAGATTAGAAAGAAACCTTGCACATCGTATCCCGCCTATGGCGCCCGGTGGTAGCAAGAACGATGTCAGGGTACTCCAGGGCGCCTTTCGGATTGGACAAAAACGACACGTCTGCCCGGACGATACGCCATGGAGACTGCCTCATGCTCTGCACCTACAACGCCAGGACAGTCTCCACAAACGCCGATCTCCAGCTCTTCTCGACGCTGCAGAGCACATCAACTACCACATCATCGCTCTGCAGGAAACGAAGTCCAGGAAGGAGGACGTGCGACAGGTGAGTGATGGGGTCCTCATCATTCGTGGTGAAAAGGTTTCATCACGAAACGTGAAAGGCGTCGGCTTTGTCGTCCACCCATCTATCGCCCATCTTGTCGATTCGCACGAAATCCTATCACCTAGACTAGGCAACCTACGACTACGCCCTCCACGTCAGAAGACCATCAGCATCATCAACTGCTACTCGCCAACATCAGCAGCTGACGACTCAGAACTAGATGCTTTCTACGAAGACTTGGAGGAGGTCGTCCGCAACGAAAAGTCCTTCTATAAGTATGTTGTGGGCGACTTCAATGCGAAAATCGGGATGCCACTAGAAAAGGAATATAGGATCGGGAAGTTTGGATATGGGCTCCGAAACGAAAACGGCAACCGTCTCGTTGGGCTTCTCTCCTCCGCACGACTCTTCCATGGAAACTCCATCTTCATGAAGAAAGAACATCGCCGGTGGACTTGGGAATCGCCCAACGGAACGACTCATGTTGAGATCGACCACATTCTCACCAACCGAAGGTGGAGCTTACTCGATGTCTCTGTAGTTCCATCCTTCTGCAGTGGCTCCGATCACCGCCTCCTTCGAGCGGAGATACGACTCAGCCGAAGGCTGGAAAAGAAAGTCTGTCATAGTGCCGCGAGAAGGAAGGAAGTCGTTTATGACGTAGGCTGAAAGAGCTCATATCAAGTTGTGACTGGCCCATCGAGGAGGACCCAACGTACGACTACGACCGGCTTCTGAAAGGATTGCGAGCCTGAGAATACGCCTCAGTGACTTCTGAGAAGAACTTGGAAACGCATTTCAAAGACCACCAAGGAATTGCTCGAAAGAAGAAGATTTTTGAGGCAGGATCCGAATGCAACCCATCTCGAGCGACTGATAGCCAATGCCAGTTGCAGAACAGCTTTGCAAGAGGATCTCAGAGAGTACAGGCAAGCCAAGGTACTGGAAGCAGCCGAAAGAAGACGAAGTCTGAAGAAGCGCAGAAGGGACCTCAGCGAATATCACGTACCGCTGGTTGCACTACTGAACGAAGACAAGACTCCGACTTCTTCCCGATACAAGATGAAATCTATCGCGAAGAACTTTTACACCAACCTCCTCCGCTCATCAACACCCGTGCGATGCCCGTTGTTCCCACTAGAGAAGTACCACCACGAATTCTACCTGCTGAAGTGCGTATCGCGATACAGACCATGAAGACGTCCACGGCTCCAGGACCAGATCATCTTTCCGTCGAACTTCTGCGAGCCGGAGGACACCGTCTACACGAGATTCTAGCGTCGCATTTGACATCTTACCTTCAGAAGTAGAAGATTCCCGACCAGTGGAGAACGTCAAGAACCGTCCTTCTCTTCAAGAAGGGTGAACGGGAGGATCTTCGGAACTATCGTCCAATATGCCTGCTGAGTGTGCTATACAAGCTTTTCACGAAGATTATCCTCGCTCGCATATCGAGGACACTGGATGAAGCTCAATCCCAAGAACAAGCTGGATTTCGCAAAGGATTCAGCTGCATGGACCACATCCAAACCGTTTCGAGGGTCATAGAATTCTGCCGGGAGTACCGACTGCCTCTCGTCTTAACCTTTGCCGACTACGAGAAAGCCTTTGACAGCGTCGAAACCAACGCCATCCTGTCTGCGCTAGTCGATCAAGGAGTGGATCCAGCTTACGTGAGGACATTAGCCGACTGCTACAAGGACTGTACAACGACGATGCAGCTATTCCATTGACCCCTGACCATACCAGTCGGGAAGGGGGTCCGACAAGGCGACACAGTCTCGCCGAAGCTGTTCACCGCGGCCTTGCAGTGGGTGATGAAGTCACTGGACTGGGACGAGAGAGGCATACGAGTTGATGGGAGATTCCTGTCCAACCTTCGTTTTGCGGACGACATCGTCCTCTTTTCGAGCAGTATCACCGAAGCAGAGGTGATGCTGAAGGAAATGAACGAAGTAGGGAAGAAGATCGGATTGGGAATCAATCGGAAAAAGACTCAGTTCATGAAGAACGCCCTTTGCAAAGATGCAGAAATGGAATTGGAAAGCACCCCTATCACGGAGACGTCTTCTTACGTGTATCTCGGACGTTTGATGAACATGGAGAACGACTTGAGGAAGAACTTAACAGGAGAAGAAGAGCAGCCTGGGCCGCCTTCGGGCCTTTGAAGGAAGCCACCGACCAACTTACGGACCCGGACGTGCCCACCTGTTCGACTCAACCGTTCTCCCGGCGCTCTGTTACGCAGCTGAGACTTGGGCCGACACTGTAGCCACGTCGAAAGCTTGGACCACCCACAGAGCGCTCGAGCGCAGTCTTCTGAAGATGACCCGACGCAAGCAACATCTAGTCAGAGTTCGCAGCACGGATGTGAGAAGAATGTCCCGTCTTCGTGACCCAGCGGAATACGTTGCGAAAGCCAAGCACCGATGGGTCGGTCACATAATGAGAAGAACAGACGACAGATGGACACTAAGAACATCTGAGTGGATTTCTCGCGAAGCCAAACGTCCTCGAGGAAGACCACCGACGAGATGGGCAGACGTGTTCGTGGAACGGATGGACCAGCTGAGCAACTGGATACGGCTTTCGCCCCTGGAACTAGTGGACGCAGCCACCGACGACGGCCAAGAAGATCGTGGATGTCTGAAGCGAGGGACAGGGAAAAATGGCAACTTCTGTACTGGGGCCCGCACGTCACATGAGGACGGGCCATCTAAGTATCTTCTGAAGCGAGGGACAGGGAAAAATGGCAACTTCTGTACTGGGGCCCGCACGTCACGTGAGGACGGGCCATCTAAGTATCTAAGTAAGTAAGATGTTCCACTTAGATTTGAGGTAAGTGTGCGCGGTGAGAGACTCTTCAACCGATGTTCGGATCGGAATGTGATGGTATACGGTAAACAAGAGAGAGTAATAGTGGTTCAGTCTTCCATTGGTCACTGTAAGCGATAACGTGCGAAATGTGACCTGCCGCGGTCAAAGTAAGATCGAGAGTGCCTGCGACCTTACAGGGAGCCACATGGCAGACGCCCGCCATCTCAGCGTGACGTCATGTGGCATGTCTATTAGCGCTAATAAGGCGATTAATCGATCCGTAGATGATGGTATGGAGCAAATCATCAATCACTCTTCATTAATGTAGGATAACGGTAGAAACTTCGAGAAGAATATAAGGAAATTGAAAGCGATTTCCCCTTCAGAAGAAAAAAACAAGTCGGAATCTCTTGCACTGGACTAATCAGTCCCTGGTTCTAAAGGTAAAAGTTGCACATCACTGTAATGCTTGTTTTATAGGTTAATTCATGCTTAGGGTAGCACTACTTTCCAGTGTTCGTCAGAAGTGTGCGTTATGTAGTGAAACAGTATGCTTGAAAGCTGCACAAATTCCTGGATTTTCTGGCATTTTCATAAAAAAAAACCTATTCTACAGTGATGCTATATGCTGAACGTTTACACCGTAATCCCACAGTAATGCAGCAAGATCGGAGCTTCATTTCATGCTGCGAATCTAAGTTGAACCTCGCTTTACAAAATGGTGCCTAAGCTCGGTGAAAGACATGAAGACAAGAGAGTTATTAACGAACAAACGTTCACAATTTTTTGGGACACTTTGTATAATCTTGCAGAGTTTCGTTAAAAACCCGCGGAGATCTACAACGAGAGTTAAATGTCCGCTCTGGTCTTTCCCCTCTGCTCGTCTGCGCCTCCGTGCATTATGCGCTACCTCGCTCCCCCAAACGCTGGACGCTGGACATTTGGCTCCGGTACCCTTTTCTTGGTTGTTCTGCAGTTAATTCTAGCAAACTGTAATCACAGTGAAGCTCTTAACGTCTACCTTCGCGCTGACAACGTAGCAAAATCCCAATTTTTAGTTTGAACGAGAAATATGGCAGATACCGTTTTTTTTTCGTGCATTCAATAGATATTGCATCTGGTGTAGACAACGTCGCAGAGCTGGTTTTTTCGACTGTGGTAAAGTAGCTGGCAAAGACCTTCAAAAAGTGCGTTTATGTTCATAGGCCCTTATTGGAGTGAGCAACCATTTATTACATGCTTAAGGTCCTTCTGCTCAGGATTATGAGCACAGCAAAGCTAGCAACGTCGCCAGAAACAGAAACTACGAAGGCTAGAAATTCACAGCATCAGAAACTAGGTTGCCTTTGACGTGCATTTCGAAGTAGGAAAAAACAAAACTTCGCGTTTTCATAATTGAATGGTTTTCGTCTATTTTCTTCTTGACAATCGCTACCTCCAAGATATGTTCGTTTTCAAACAATCACAAGAAAGAAACTGGCTTCCCTCGTTTTTCCCGTGCTGTGAATTGCCTAGTTCCTGTGGCGAAAACCTGCAATTTAAAATGCCGCCAAACGAAAAATTTCAAACTGATTGCGGCGTTTTATTAGGTTTTCAAAAGCTTTTCTGCTTTTGCTATTTGTCTCGCATTTCCCTTCTTTCCCTTTCTTTTTTTTATGGGATGCAGATATTCGAACAACCTTCACTTTTGGCGCCCTATCTTTAGACTATCGAAAGTAAGCTCGAATTAGATCGAATCGAGGTTGGAGATAAGATTTAATTGTGTAAGGTGCCACAGTGATTGATTTACTAGAATTACTGGTCTCTGATGAAGGCACTGTTACAGAAACATAAGGTCAAATAAGCTGTAAAGTGTAATAAACCTGCGTGGCACAGATATAGGATACTGTTTCAGTTCTTTTCTGAAATGTGAAAAGCATTTCTATTAGGGCGTTTGCCCCACCAATAACCGGTATCCTTAAATTCGGAATTCGTCCATTCTGATGTGTGATATGGCAATGCGATGTGGATTCCAGCACGCTCTAGTGGTGTGCGGTGCACTCCGCTGGTAGGTGCCAGAGTAAGCGAATATTTTGTTCAGATTGGGGTCCCGCGCAGAATGGACGTCATTCACCATGCTGGCGTCAATTCAAGTGACGTCAATTCTGCGCGGGACCCCAACCTGAACAATATTCGCTCACTCTGGCACGGGTGGAGGACTATATCGCCGAATTTGGAAGAGTCCCGCGCGGATTCCCTGCGGTAACGCATGTCCGCGCATGTACAAGGATGCGTATTTGTCGCAAATGACCGCGGGGACCGCCCTTTTTCGGCGACATATAGTCCTCTACCCCTCTGGCACCAACCCTGCTTTCCGCCACACTCCAGCGCTATCCGGCGCACTGCAGCGCACTCTGACGCACTCCGCCGGAGTACGGCAACTTTTTTGGCGAATTATGAGCGTATTGTATAAGCTGCTACAAAAAATGTGGGGAAAACAGGTTCAATTTCTGCTTCTCTACTATTCACATCATTTTCAATCTAAACAATGTTGTGAGAATTTATCTCACTCTAACATGAGAACAACATGGTTAAGAACGCCGTCATCAAATCTGGTGCTTACACCACTCGTGAAAAAGATTTGCTATATTTACAAAGGGGAAATTCGTAATAAGATAAGTTTTTTTATGATTAGAAGTCCTGTTGTTTCGCCTCTCACCCCTGGACGGGTAATAGCAAGACTACTACCCTAAAATCCCGCCAATAAGTCCGGACTTATCTATTTTTTGACACAAAAAATTGATAAAAAAAATCGCCCTCTGCGCTGCCAGAAGTCTAGCAGATCTGCTGCGGTCTGATGGGAGGATTCATCTGCTAGACTTCTGGCAGCGCAGAGGGCGGTTTTTTTTTTATCAATTTTTTTGTGTCAAAAAATAGATAAGTCCGGACTTATTGGCGGGATTTTAGGGTAGCCACTTCCAGGCCCGTAGTTGGGGAGGAGTGGATATAATAGTGGTGGTCTTGAGCATGGGGCTGTATTTATAGCAGGGGTATTTATAGGAAGAGGGGGGGGGGTGTGGATCAGGTAGTAGGTCAGGACTGAGAATGATCTAACTAATGCTTATCATTTGCATAATGAAACTAATTGTTTAGTGTTTTTAAACTTTTCCAAATAATTTTATTATACGCAATGGTTTTATGATATGTAAAGCATTTAATTACAGCATGCTTAACAATTCCTTTTTATATTTTAATTTCAAAAAATTAGAATTGCATCTATCAGTCTGTTTCGAAATCATTATATAAACTACATGTTCTGTAAGTTCTTAATGTTTCGGTATATACTAGCTATTTTCAAATTATCACTTACATATGAGTTTCCGTGACAAGAACTAACGATTTCAAATTTGAAACCGTCCTCTTACTATATTGTTCAAAATTCGTTCAAATATTATTTAAAATTCGTAAAATTCGTTCGGAGCCACGGAATTGGAAGTGACCGTTAGCTTCTAGCATTCAGCCACAAATCTAAAAATAATGCTTTCCCAATAGCCATGCGGAAGGGTGAGAGAGAGAGAGTTAGGATCGCTTGCCGATACGAGCCGAACAGCCGCGTTCCTCTTCACTCCCCTTCGAGCTCCCAACAAGACAGGTCGGTGCCAGATTCTTTCATAGTCGCTTTACACACATTCATTCACAATTTGTTTTCTCGTCATCTAATTGTTTTGTTGTGTGTTCTAGCAATAACACCTGCTTTGTTTATTTCAGTATTGAATAGTGCTTGTTTGTTAAGGAAGCTGCTTGGTATTGAATACTGACGAGTCAAGTACTAATTTATATAGAGCAAAAATCAGAGAAAAGTTTGATTTCTAGTTAACACAAAATTCTGGAGGGAACTTTCTGACTTTGGGATAGAGGCACTGTTTTTCAGAATTTTTGTTAATTCGCTGGCAGTGCGAGCGAATTTTGAATTCAAGCACATTTATTGTTATTTTACAATAAATTTTTACTTTAGGGCACTCCAGTTTTTACTACAGCGCTGTTTCAGACATTCAAAATAGCATTATTTGATCTACTATTACTTAATTCATTTTGACAACTAAGGACTCAGATAGTCTCACATTATGTGAGGCACACAATTTCCTGTATCAAAACCATTTTTAAACCTAAGAATAAGTCTTCTGTCATATCTTTCAAGCAGCGCAACAAGCATAAAACTTATAAAATTTATCAGATGCACCTTTATCAAAAAACCAATCAAAAAAGATTTTGATGTAAGCTTTCTCATGAGTAGCATGCCAGCCCTCAGCTCAGATCTTGACTTGCATTTTGTTCAATCGTTCTGTAAATGTTTACCGCAGCTCTCAAGTGGAGAGTTGGCCCTTATTATCCCTGCCAACACATTAGATTCTGTACATCCCTGACTCCCTTTACTTCATGTTTCCCATGCAAGAATTCATATAATGTGAATCACTAACTCACCACGATAAAATAAATTTTATTATGCATTTTAAGTCAGGTCTTTAATAACCAGGCAAGGAATAATATTTTGATTTGGGAACACCTCAGCACATCTCTTGCTATACACTAGATATCGTTACAATATTGACATCGGTCTCGCAATCTCCGCTGCGCCTCTACCAGGCTCGAGAGCTGTTGTAATGCCGCTGTAATCCCGTGTAATCCCATTTTTTCATGTTTTTGAGATGTTCCACTTTCACTTTATGATTAGCTAAAATATTTTTTTGGCATTTTTGATGGAAGCGCAGAACATTATAGGTAACCTTTTCTAAAAACATACCTATCAAAATTAACATATTTGTCGCAGCAAGATTTTACTATCATACTTAACGCGGAAAACGTAACCATTGAACTGCACACCATAAAAATGTTTACACCTTGATTCAACTGGCTTGACGGCTGGAAGGCGGGGCTTCGTGACCTAATTAAGAATAGGTAATGACCAGAGAGCACGCGCGCGGGAGAGACGCAGCCTGTGTCGCGGGAGCTCGCGGCCTTAATTAGGTCACAAAGCTCCCCGCCTTCCTGCAGCCAAGCCAGTTGAACCGAATTGGTGGCTACTTCTTTCGCTACAATCACAATCCCTCGAGTAACGAGTCAATTTTTCTAGATTCTTTACAACTGTCCCCATGACTCATGCTTCATCTTCAATTACGCAATTACCGTCGGTAATTTTTCTTTGGGTTAAGCGCCACAGCTGCAGTCGGGAATATGTCAGTCAAGAACTACTGCTGCCCATGCTCCCTCTTCCCAACAATTCTTCCTCTAGCTATACCCAAAAGAAAAAACCCAATCCAGCCAGTCCACAAACGCACAGAGACGGCATTTGTCTGTGTACTGCTGTAAAGCGCGTTACTGCCGCAATCATATCCTCCAGAACCTTCCTGCCAGTCTCTCAGCAATTTTTTGTGTCACTCGGGTTCAACTTGTGGATATGTTTGTTTAAACTTTGTGCACATGTGTCTGAAAGATGATTGTAGATTAAGAGAGACTCTGCAGATTGGATCGAGTGGGTGAGCTGGAGAACTTGAGCTAGCAAACTCGGATGAGATACAGATTGGCAGGGGAACACGGTTCATTTTGCACAAACCAATCTAGCGTGGATTTAAGCAGTTATTCAAAAAATTAGAGTAACATACTAGCATAACATGTCACCTTATAGCAGTGGCGTACCGAGGGGGGGGGGGGCGGGGGGGGGGGGCGCGCCCCCCCCCCCCGAGAATGGGTCGCGAAATTTTTGAAAGTTACTTATATGGGTTATAAAAATGTGCAAGTGACTTGTTTATTTTTGTAAATAATTAAAATAATTTTTAACAAATTTTTAAAAATTCAAATTAGCTTTGTAAAAAAATTTTTTTTCGGGGGCGTGGCTGACGCCACGTCCCTTTTTTCCAGATTTTAGGGGTCGGAGACCCGCAAAAGTTTTGAGAACCACCCCAAAAATTTTTTCGGAGTGCGTGGCTAACGCCACGCACCTTCTTTAGAAAAAAATTTTTGTCGCGCCCCCCCCCCCCCCCCCCGAGCCGAAATCCTGGGTACGCCACTGCCTTATAGGAATTCTGTTCGTGGGAGGGAGGAGTGAAGGGCGCAACAAAAGAGATTTCCGATGAAGTTGCATGACGTTAGCCACGCACCCCGAAAATTTTCGAAATTCTCAAAATTTCCGCAACCCCATATTGAAGAGGCGCGGCAGCAGCCATGTCCCGAATAAAATTTTCACAAGGCTAAATTGAGTTTCAAGAATTTTTGCAACTTATTTCAATTGATTAGGAGTATAAATTAACGACTTGCACTTCTTAACTCATTAAGTAACATCTAAAATTTCCCCTATTCTAAGGGAGGGGCTCACCGTAAGGAAGTACTAGACTTAAGTATAATCTTCCAAAGGAAAGTTTGGGACATCAACATCTAACCAGGCTACAGTGTACGGTGCTAACATATTTGAATTTACCGCTTTCCACCCAGGACCGCCCTTCTTGCTGCTTCTTGGCCACGCCCATTTTGTTTGATTCCCGCCCCTGCTGTGCTCGTTATAATCATCTTCATAACCCCTTGTAGTCTGATGACATAAGCTAGAATTGAAATCGTCATTATTAGCTGTCCTAACCACTTGAGTGCGAATCCATCAAACAAATTTCACATCTTTAATTCTTAGGAAAGCTTGCAATGCGGATCTAACTACTTTTTCCAACCACCTGGAAATCGAGGAGAACCCATTGATTTCTTGCCATCTATCAATATCCGCTCGAGCTTATCGCCGTCCAGCTGGCGGTTGCGCGGCTCATCTGATGTTTGCCCACTCTTAAACATCCCGTGTTCTTGGTATCTTCCTTGAGAGCGTGCCGTTTTGTTACTTTGAGACTTCAATTCGATACATTGATTTAAATTGTTAAAAAGATGTAGGAAGGCTTTTCTTTCTTTTTCTGCTTTTCTTGCTCCCCATCTATCCAAATCTATGGCTTATCAGAGTTAGAAAAACATCTTGCGCATCGTTACACTTGCAGCGGGAATTTGGATTCGAAATTTTCGAGCGGATCAGCATGGAGGAATGAGATATGCGCCAAATTACACCAATACTTTTCCTTTCCCAAAAAGAATTATTTATTATTCAATTGAACTTTGTAATTTCCCATTAAGGATAGTCAAAAATCTGCTTTCCTACTTGTAATTATTCTTAATATTATTGCAATGACGAAGAAACAAAAACAAAAATGCCGTAATACACAATTCGTAAAAAATTTCCATCCATTCGAAATTTTTTGTGGAAATTGAGGTGAGGCTTTGTAAAGATATTTTTCAATGACCCCAAAAGCTCCTGGTATCAAAAAACAAAAAGCTGCAATTGAAAAGCATCACAGATGAAGCTTGGCTTTTTGAAAACCTTCTTCAGCCATTTGAAGCCCAATCACTTTGCATGTTGAACATGTAAGATCAAACACAAATTTCGTTGACCGTAGCTACGAAAATGTTTGCTCGCAAAATTTCTCTCAACCTCTTACGTTTGATACGAACGCCATCACTCGACATACAACCATCAGCCAACATAGCTGCGCGCAACACCGAAATTACGAAGACTTTTGAAAAGATATATCAATTTCTGAAAAACGCTATAGATTGGACCACAGTATCGTCGTTTATATTCGGTGATCCCGTTGAGCTAATAAGCAACGAACCATGCGCTTTGCTAGGATTACAGGTTTGACTCGCTTTGCATTGCAAAATTTTACAGTGAATTAACTGTGCCAGAAATATTATTTATTTTTTATTTGTTTTGTAACTTACTTTCCACTTCCACAAACTCTATGCTCACTGATGCAAATGTGTGCCGTTACAAAGTGCGCAGTAAGAGCTCGTATGACGATGTCCCTGCCTGAGAGACGCGCTGCAACCGCACGCAAACGCACGCACATGCCCGCTGCCTCAAAAAATACTGCTCGGAGCTGCCGACATTGTAGAAATTACCATTGTAGATGTTGAATACTATGCTCTGATTAGCTGCTGACCGTCAGTGGTTCTTACTTTACACTTTGTTAGGAAAAAATCGATTAATTTAGTCATTGACTCTAATAGGAAATGTATTCATCATTTAAGAAAATACTGGATTGAACAGATAATATCAAATGAACTCTTGATTTTAGGTTGGAACGAAGGCTCCCTCGCCCCATTCTCAAAAATTCATAACTTCATCTCCCAAACGATTTGCTTGCTTCTATTTTTTGTTTGAAAAACTAAATCATGCTTCTTATAACTTTGTCTCAATGGTTTTCTACTGAGCATGCATTGCATAGATAGAAACGGTAGAAGAAAAGTACTCAAATTCTGATTATTCTGAGTTTGGTCATTACGATTCTGAAATTAGTTATAGATCAGGAATCGGTTACAGGTTCTATTAGCTGTCCTTTCTAATAGGCAAAGTTTTGTGCTGACTGAATGTCTATAAAAAAGGCTACGATTTTCAAAAAAAATGCCAAAAAATTGAATTTGCTGTTTTGTACAGACTGCTCAAAAATTATAACTCTTCATAGAGACATTCAAACGGCGCAAAACTTGCCTAGTCAAAAAAGCATAGGTAATAAAACCTAGAATTTGGACTGCTTCGATTTTTATTGCAAGTTTCAGTTTTTTCACGACCAAACCCAAGATGATCAAAATTTAAGTATTATTCTACCAATTCTATCTATACAATGTTCAGTAGATTCCAGTAGAACTCTCCTGAAGGGCATAATTTGCTTTAACAAAAATTGAACATGCAAGTTGGTTGCGAAATCAGAAGTCATGATTTTTGAAAATGGTGCGACAGAAGTTCCGTTCTAACCTAGTAATTCCTTGTACATGTTCTGTGTTCTGTGTTTTTTGTGTTTTTGTCCGTGTGAAACTCGTCCCGTTTAAGGTGCTGGTGATGGTATGTCTGTGTTGTCGATGTGCATGTTGTACGAAAAGCTGTAAATGCTGCTGGCCAGGCAATCGAAAGTCGCGACGTTGCACGGCGGTAGAGGATACCTACCATATCCCGGGTGAAGAACACCTGCCCGTCCCCGTTTATGGACCATTTCCCAAGAAATACCTGCCGCAGCGACGCTCGGCGTCCGCGAACGAAGCGTCCAGCCCGAGCACCAAACTAGTTAACGTCCGTTCACAACGTGCTGCTGTCAGTACTGTCGAATTGTGGAGTGGTGTGCCGTTGGATGTCGATGTGGTCCCGTTAGATACGAAACCCGTGACCGTACCCGATAATGTCGATATACCTTGGATTGATGCTGAGGGACCAAATCCTGAATGTTGCAGGCAAAGACGTTGTAAACCCGGATTTAGACCATTACGAGGATCCTCAGCTCCCGCGTGAGTATCAAAAGTTTTGGAAATTGATAAGTTTCCGTTATTGCACTACTGTTCAGCAGTGGAACGTCGGCGGCCGCTACAGTAACAAGAACTAGTGAATCGACAACGCGAAAAAAGAAATCCGAACGAATGGAGAAAAAAAGCAGTGGAGGCGGTTTCTTCCAGGTTAGATTAAGGAAAATATTACTCAATATCGATCAGCACTCTGTTGTATGAAGTCTTTTTTCAACACCATACTACCTACCGTTTCTCGGAAGTGATCCAATTAACCGCGCCGCAACCGTTCGCATCTGCATTTGGGGGAGATAACTAGCGAAAAGAGGGAACTTGCATTTTCAGTTTTTGTAAAATAGAATGCAAATATAGAATTGAGGATCAGAAGTAGAATTTGGATCAGGAAGGGCTCAGTTGACCTGAAAAATAACTGATTCCGCAGTTAACCTTTGATTCAACAGGCTTGGCGGCGGGAAGGCGGGGCTTTGTGACCTAATTAAGGTCGCTCGTGCCCGCGACGCAGTCTGCGTCTCTCACATATGCGTTCTCTCTGATTATTACTTGGCCTAATTAGGTCAAGAAGCCCCGCCTTTCAGCAGCCAAGCCAGTTGAATTAAAGGGTATTTCTGACTTCTTCGAGGAGTTACGACAAATGACGATATAGGATCTCAACTTGGATTACGACGGTGTTACCTTAAAGAATGTGATGAGATTGTGATCAGCATGACAAATTACATGTTATGCAAATTACCACAAGTAAGACTTTGGCTCTTACCGTGCACCTACCGTGACACAAAAAACTACGGAGATGAGTGTTATTTATGTGATTATGAAAACTAATTCCCAGAAGCTAGGTTTGAGAGAAATAGGTAGTTTCAACTTTGACGCCTAAATGACCAATCGGCGCCAATCCTAACATAAGGAAAAATGCTTTAGGGTAGAGTAACAAAGATTTCCCCCAGCATTCACAACTCGGTTTTAAGATCGTCCTCAGCTTTTGTCATTGCTTGTTCAGTTAATGTACGAGCGGCGTTCCTTCAGTTGATTAATCACTTGTCTGTAAGCAACCCCGTTTTGTTCAAACATATGGCAACTAAAGCAACATTTGCTCGAGAAAAATTGCGTTATCTCGGACTAACTGAACCTTGGAATATGCAGCAGATTAAGCCATAGACTACTCGGCAAGTGTTCGAAGTGAATCAACTCTAAGCACTTCGAACGCTGAGTACTTGAGCATGTATCCACTGTCGAAAAGTCGTTTACTTGTCGGAATATCTCAAGATCGTTTTGCTGGCAAATAATGGGGGCATGATACCATCTCCATGATCACGTTCTTTCAACACTGAACTGTAGTCATTTAGCAGTCACATGCAAGCTGTATCATTACATTTACTTTCAAAAAATTACATAATTACATATTCTTGTGGTTGGTTCATAAACAACTATGTGTTTTTGTTCGTTTGTAAGGGACGCAAGAGCGCGAAATAAAATAAATAAAAAAAACTCTCAAAGTGATAGCCACGTGAAGTTAGTAACAAATGGTTTGAACTCTGATAAACAAAATGAAAATTCTTTGATAGACTCAAAATTCATGCATACTTTGTCTTTATTTTCGAACAATGAGGCTATAAAACTTCATCTAGTTTCAAATAGGCGCATATCTTCACTTTTGTGATTAAATGACGATGAGTCTTTTTTAAAAGTTATAGCTTGACGAATTAGATCTATCTTGGAGAGTATCTTAAAGGTAGTGGCTCGGAGAAGATGCGATTGCGAGCTTTCCGCACCTACATAGTCTTCTGGGTGCGCTGAGTCCAGTGCTGTCCTTGAAATGTCAAAAAGTGCTTTTTACGGCGTTTTCCTACCCTAGAAATGACTGGAGTGGATGGGCGAGGGATTCTCGCTAACATCGCAATTGGCTGCCTGAGCCGATCAGCCAATTACCGTAGAAATGGGTGGAGTTACAGTCTCCTGCAGCCAGTTGCTGTTTATGGCGGGAATCCCTCGCCCATTCCCTCCAGCTCTCTCCACCGTAGTAAAACGCCATAAAAAGCACTTTTTTTTTACTTTTCATGCATAGCACTGGACTCAGCGCATCCAGAAGGCAAGCCTTCCTTTTTGATGTGCGTAATTTAATCTTCTATGAAAAGTTGCACTTGCGAGCCAGCACATTTTACACAAAAGTTTTTACATGTGCCTGATCGTTCAACTACTAGTTATGCGTTCGAGGATTATTTTTCTGGTTGCACTTGTTGTAAGACGGACCACAGTCAAGAATGCTAGCAAATACGTGACCGACATGAGATCCGGATGAGCATCTTAAACAGTAGACGGCAAACTCGAGTACACCTTGCCAACCCGGAAGCTTCTCTCAAGAACAGTTCTGGAAATTAGAAGAAATTAGAAATAATTAATAAAAATTCAAATACTTGTTTAATCACTGAAATAATTTCCATGACATTGAGAGGAATGAGGAAAAGGATTTTATAAAATAAACATACTAGGTTTAACCCATTGACGACGATGTGGACCACCGGTGGCCCACGCACCTTTTGCCGCCAGGGACAATGTGGACCACCGCTGGCCCACACTCCTTGCAACATATCCTTCCCAGGTCTAGTCTTTTTCCCACAATTTAGTATTTTTATTGTTTGCACTTTTGGAACCTGTAGACTTTGTTGTCCAAAAAGATGATTGAAGTTGTTTACAAAACGACTTTGAATTCGCAAATAATCACAAAACCTTCCCACGCTGAACGTGTTGTGCAAAATCGCGTCGTCTTACAGTGCCGCCATGCAAAATTAGGCGTCGTCGTCAGTGGGTTAAAGGCAATGTCTCACCAAAGTTGAGGTCACGCGAATCTTTACATATTCTATTATAGGGACCTCTAGATAGTTCATTGCAACAAGTCCCACTCAATTTGATCCCCTCCACGCTGAGAAAAATTTGCTCAAAGTGGTACGCGGAGAGCCAGCTGGTACGCGCAGACGACTCCTTCGGTCTCCCCCCTTACGCGTTTGAACATGTCCCTCCACTTGCCATCCACCTCCCCTCTGTTGCTGCCACTGTGGCTGAGGCTGGAGTTGGATGGTACAACTCGTCCACGTTGATTCCGCGGGGCCTCCAGAAAACGGGGTTTTTGGGAACTTCGTGCGATTTTAAGTCCATACAATGCTAGACAGGGTCCGACAGGCTTGCAAAATGCAAAAATCTCGGCAACTAAATTTTGGTGAGACACTGCCTTTAAGTGAGAATGCATTCGGTTTTGAAGCGGAAAAAGGGAAGAGTTTGTCCTGTAAACATGTTATACATGTATAACATGACCGCAATTAACTTATCGAACATGCTACAACACGATTGACTTGTTCACATTATCAGATTAGAGTGCATATAAGGCCTGTTCACATCACACAGGCGATAATATAACACCACTTTTTTGGCTAAATGTTTATTGTCGGGTCACTTGTGACCTAATCACACTGCACAACATGTGCGCTACTTGACAATTTGTAGAACTGCTCGTTTCCAGCTAAATCATCGACAATCATACAACGCTTTAACAAGTCACTGGTCCTCATAGGTTTTTTGCATATCAAGACATCAGAGTGAGAAAAGAGTGAGGTTTTCAAATTCCCGGTACACTTCCCCTAGGTTCTCGAGTCACCTGAGAATGGATGACACTTTCCTGGCATTATCTTCTTGTTGCTTATTCGTTCCCATAAATACCACCTTTCTATCTTTCACTTTTCAAAATCTTCAAATAATTTTTGCTTGTTTCTGTCCAGCTCCTATCAATCATTAGATTTTTCGGTGATTTTTGTATGTCTGACGTCGCATCAAAATGGTGATTAGGCTAAAATTGGAAATCAAAGGTAAATTTAGCGACTGATGTTACTGCGAATAAGCAGTGGCAAATAAAAGTTGTCTATGAAATTTTGCAAAATTCTGTATAGTCATGGCTTGAATTTGATTTATCAAACTGACTTTTTCCAGCGCTGGTTCGGTGGAGGACCAGCCGAACGCGAACGTACCCAGTCTCCAGCACGAACACTCTCTCCAAATCGGGACGAGAATGACTATGCCACGATCGACCGAATTCGATTCGGAAAGAGGGAGTGTAAGTTGTGTTACGCTCTTTTTCGAGTCGTGCCTGGCTGCTGCCAGCTTCATCGCCGCATAAAATGACCGCACAACTGCTGCAGGTCGAGCCAGGCACGATTGTGCAGGATCGACACTGTCAGTGTTTTGTTCCCGAGCTGGCCGTGCTCTTTAGCCTTAGGCTCTGTAGGTAATGTAGGAATCTTCACCCCCTCCCTCGCACTCCCTCACCACCCTCAGCGCTTTGCACTTTTGCTTTCCCAACTATTTTCACTTCTATATTTCTAATTAGTGCAAATCGGTCCCTAAGTATGATTCATCTGTTTTGCCATCGGCTCTGCCCGCTAGCCATTCTCACCCACGTAGACAGTGTAATGCTCAATCGTAAAAATGCACTTCAGCGAAGAGAATCCTGCTCGTTACATAGCTTAGGGGGCTCTTATTTTTTTTAGCTCAACGACAGATAAGGCATAGTCAACTATTCTTAATTTATTCAGACTATTACATAGCTTAGGAGCTCTTATTTTTTTAGCTCAACGACAGATAAGGCATAGTCAACTAATCTTAATTTATTCAGACTAATCTATGACAACTTTTACACCTTTGACAGCAACGAATTTGGCCAAAGTTTGAATCTGGTGGTTTTTTGTTGTACAAGGAAAGGTAGCGAAGTCGGGTGGCCGAATATCATAAGATGCTTTTATCATAAAGAGCTTGAAGCGCTGATTTCTTTTGTATCTGCAGCACGCTTCTTGGAAAGAAGTTATGAATTTTCATCTGCGGGAAGATTGCAAGGCTAAGAACACACCCAGAATTATCACCGAAGCACTTTTGACTCAAACACATGGGCAGCCTATCCATGCCTAATGTGATGCTGGCCCTTTTTGAATGTTGTACTGTGACCCAAGAAGCATTCTGAATGATTTTCATTATTTGTAGTCGCTCAAAACAATGCATTTTTGGATGATAAAAATGCTCATAACTTCCTTCTCAAAAATGCTAAGCAGATAAGGAAAGCAGATTTGAAACCAGCGTTTCAAGCTCTTGTGATGATGTGCATCTTATAGTGATCGGCCACTTCAACTTCGCGACCTTCCGTGATTAGAAGAGTTTTTGTGGTTGGAATTTATGCATTTCAGTGGCTAAGATGATGTATGGAAAAATGCTTATTTGACTATTGGTTGAGTAACATTGATTTTGCATTACAGAAGATGAAAAACTGCCTCACCTACAAGAAGTCATTTTGTGCTCTTTCAATAGTTTATTAGCTATGCGCGAGCATACTTCCGGGCGATAGAAATTCATCCGACTTTTCAACAGACGGTGGTTGGCAGCTATCTGATTCCCCACAACAAAAATCCGTTCTTTATAGTCTTGCTAGCAGGACAAAACGATTCGAAAAGGATTATACAGTAAGCATGTTAAATATGATCAATATAAGTAAATCGAATTCGGTAACATTTGCGCGAAAAAGTATTTCAGGAAGATAGATAGGAAGGCACTACACCTACAATCCAGCTTGTTCGAAAATATTTTTGTCCTCTATGTAACATTTCCATTTAGTCCACCAGAGACCCTACTGCATCAACAAACTTTTCAAAAAAATTAGCGATTTCCACTATGTATTAAATTGAAACACATTTTGCCGACAGTCTGCGCGGTTTTTCAGATTTCTAATGCATCTTCATCCTTATCAGTGTCTTTCGTAGAGGCGTAATCTACGGGCATCATAAAAGCTTTCTCCCCCTTTCCACCTCCGCAGATACAATGGTATTTTTAGTCACAACAAGCAGGCTGATATTAGAGTCAAAAGGTTTGCCTAGCAGATTATTTACTGTGATGAGCGCTATTAAATTGCGAAACAAATTATAGCACTAGTTAGATAACATTACTCAATTGTTGTCTAAGCATTACGACAACAACGATGGCAACTCGCTCTTCGTGCAAACATAGCAGCTGTTCGATATAAATAACAGAAGTCTGCTGCTGTTGAAAACCAGCGCCGTTGATAGGTGTGCGATGGGAATAGGTATAGCTCATACTGACTTCCTACGACTTAGTCAGACGTGGGTGGGGAATGCTGTGAAGTTGAACTATTGTATCCAGATGTAAGATCTCAAGTACGCATCATATACGGGGAAAAAGTTGCGAGACACTGAAAACCTCAACAATTGTTCGAGAAAAAGCAAGTTTAATCGCTTTGTCTCTGCGTTCCTCGAATGCACGGCTTTCTCAGATGTAAAGATGCCATTTCATAGTGCGTACCTCCCGTTTGCTTTTGAATTTTGTGCATTTCCTCCCGCTCTAAATTCATCTTGTTGATTTGATTTTGATTCTTTTATTATTTGTTAATTTATAATTTCTGAGTGCGTCATTGATATGAGCTTCGACCTATTCCTTTATCAATATTGGGATACTTGAAATCAGATATGCAGAATGATTCAAACATTAAATTTTATCACCCTCAATAGTTTTTGAGGGATTTTCGTCCATGTATTAAGTTGTCCCATGAGATTTTTCATGTCTGATTTTCACCTGCATAAGCCAGTTCTTCCCATATTTTCAAAGGATGCTGGGTACCGTTCGAAAGAACAAAGCAAGCTCTACAAGACGACATCGAAGTCCCCATCAAGCTTGATTTGCATCAAGTTTCAAACCATATAAAAAAAAATCCGACTTCCTAACAACGAAAATCACTCAGTTCGAAACAATCCTGCAAATATTCCACTCCTCATGCTTATACTCTGCCCCATAAGATGATCATTCATTTGCTGCATTTTTTTGATGGCTAGAAATCGAGAAGAAAGTAGTGCGTGGAATTTCCAAACTTTGCCCGTAGCAGTTCTTTGTTCCTCGCAAATATGTGATTGTATAGCATATTCGCTTAGAAACACTGCTACAAATTTGCACCCTTGTAGGTGCCTTAATCCTTGAAGAATTATCAGTTTGAAGGTTCGAATATGAAAAGTGGGCAACCTAATATATTTTTACTCTGCTTCCGATGCACTAATTTATATGCCTGCTCTCATATGGATACTAATAAAAAAGTTTCCGAATGACCTCCGTTCCCTCCCCTTAGACGAAGTTTTCAATTCCTGGGCCCTCTCCGGAACTTTTCAGTGAAGATGCGACAACTTCTATGATTCGCCTATGGCCGAGCTTTTTTCAACTCTCGCTCATGCCGTACTCTTTCCGAGCGGATGGTGACTGACCTGCGCGATAAAAGTGCGGTCTGGACGAGTCAGAGTTTTTTACCACAGAATTTTGTGGACTGCTGCTTGACAGGCTTAGTATAGTGCTCAGCATCTAACTGAGAAGTCCGGCATACACATTTACTGAGACACAAATAGCATTTACTCTCTTAAAGGCAGCGTCTCGGCAGAATCCTTTCCAAATTGCCACCTTTTTGGAGCCTTTTCGCCATAAGAAATCCATATCTTAACTTTTCAGCGCATGAAAATGGTTAAAATGAGCTTTTTCCGAAGCCTTCTAGGTCCGAATTCAGTGAAGAAGTGAGCGGGACCCGGAACGAGGGAGGCAGGGCGCAACTTTTTGCGGCGTCTCTTCTGAATGCGGACCTGGAAAGCTTTGGAAAAAGCACATTTTCGCGATTTTCATGCGCTGAAAAGCCCAGAAATGGATTCCTCACAGCGAAAAGGCTCCAAAAAGGTGAAGAACTGGGAAACGAGATCCTGCTGAGACACTGCCTTCAAGCTCGGCAAATCTGCGAAATTTTATGTGAATCTCAGAAAAAAGTTCGAAAAACCGATTCCCATATGTTTTAGCATCCATGCCTGCTTCACCGCGTAATGTTCGTTTCACAGAGGATCCCACGCATGATACAACACATCAGAGTTTAGCCGATAGAGCACAGATGCAGTATCGTCCCAGAGGTAAGCGGCTGTAAATCATTGCTACGAAATGCAGTAACTACTAGAAAAAATTTGCTTATTTTAGCATAGACTCATTTTAGTTGTTTTAGTGGCGATTTCTAGCAATCTCTAGAATTTTGTGTGTTTTTCAGGGCTATCACATTCACTTGACTCCATGCATACTTCGACCGTAGAAACCAAATCCGAGTTTAAATATGAGTCAATTGAAACAGGCCAATGTTAGTTGTCAGAGGGTTTGAGCAATATTCCGAGAAAGGGCGGAGCTAAACGGTGTAGTCGATCAAAATTTTATCTATCTTCTTTTGGAAAATTTCTGGGTTTGAATGGCTAGACGGTCCTATCTTGCAAAAAAAATCTTCAAAAATATTCAGCTCATTTCTTGGGGTGTGCTCTGCCCTTCGCGACTAAAATTTTTGGAAACATCAGCTTCTCTAGCAAGAATATGTTCTTTAGTATGGTAGCCTTCCTTAGAATAGTTAGTAGATATAGACAGCTGGTTACAGTAGTCAAGCTAGGCGACTAACTAGCAAATCTTCATTTTTATATCAATCGATACCCATTCCATACGTTTGCCTTTCAGCCTCCGCCAATTCCCGTGGTGGTTTCGGTTCACGTAGTACACAACAATCACTCACACAGCTGGATGAAGCTACGCTGGATTTGCTCAAACTTAGTACTGAGCCTGGGTCAACAACATCTCGACCCCTAGCTTTCACTTCATCTAGAAGGTTGGTTGCAAAAAAATATGAAATCTGTTATCAAAGAAGCAAAAGCCTTGCGATGATTCTTCGAATACTAGCTGACCAATCACAAAGTGAGGTGGGCGGGGCTCAAAGTTTTGACCAATTACGGTCATGCTCGCAAGTGAAACAAGGAAGAGTTGATTATGAGCGGCTTCATAACAATTAGGTTTTTTTGAGTATTAGGAAAAGCTTCAGCTACATCTACAGTCGTTTTTTTTCTTCTAGTCGAATTTTTAGGATAAATCCAGCTGCCGATTACCTGCCAAAAGCGGCATCCACAAGCTCGGTCAACCAGGTAATTAGGAATGGGGTAAATGATTTACTAACAAACTTTTTGCTATTGCTCTTGCCCTACATGTCAAAGTCAGAAATAACGACATTTTATTTTACAGGATGGCGGGCGTTTGCGTGTAGCTAACGTTTATACTTGGGGCGTCGACTCGGACCAGGAAGAAGTGCTAGATGCAAGGCGGAATGTCAGAGAAACCGATCCGAACCGGATGCGATTTAGTGGTTTATCGCCACAAGCGATTAGACGAAATGAAATGCAGGAAGAGATTGTTACACGGGACGAGTACACGGAAGAACGACGGGTAGGTTTTTCGTCTAAGTCTCTTCAAGCGAAAATCTGGATACCAGTGGCGTACCCAGGATTTCGGCTCGGGGGGGGGGCGCGGCAAAAAATTTTTTCAAATGAAGGTGCGTGGCGTTAGCCACGCACTCCGAAAAAATTTTAGGGGGGCTTCTCAACAATTTTGCGGGTCCTCAACCCCTAAAATCTAGAAAAAGGGGGCGTGGCTTCAGCCACGCCCCCGAAAAAAATTTTTTTATAAAGCTAATTTGAATTTTTAAAAAATTTTAAAAATTATTTTAATTGTTTACAAAAATAAACAAGTCATTTGCACATTTTTATAACTCATGTAAGTAACTTTCAAAAATTTCGCGACCCGTTCTCGGGGGGGGGGGGGGGGGGCGCGCGCCCCCCCCCCGCCCCCCCCTCGGTACGCCACTGCTGGATACCCGATCTTCTTATAAAATCTTGTGCAAGCCGCAGCTCATATGAGTTAATCGTAGACATCTGAGCCCCAAACCGGACCGTAATCCAGTCCGCCTAGCGTCCTGAGTAGGTAGAAAATACGATCTGGGTTTGAATTTGAACCAGAATTTTTCGGTTACGATTGATTCATACGAGTTGCCGCTTGGCGCCTTAGCTAGGGCCGCCTACTCATTTTCCACGTATGAAATCCATGTACCTAATTCTGCCTAGACGCTGTCTTCAAAATCAATCAACCACTAAACCAAACCGCATTTCAGACCATTCCCACGCCACAACCACGACGACGCAGCGAAGGCACCACAAATGCAGCTGGTGGGCCCATATATTCCGTACCTTCGAATGGTTTCTTGGGTGATTCCCCTCTGGGATCTCCCTACATGCCCCGACGACAGATACCGATCTCTTTGTCACCTACATCACCTTATGCACAACGTCGTGAGGTGGTGCCACCGGTGCCACGACATCAGGCCGCAATAGATGAACTCGACCAGAGGAAGACAGAAACTATGCAAGAGCTCAATCAACGTCGAACAGAAACCATTGTTGACTATGAGAAGCGAAAACAGAAACCACCAGTGGTAAGAATTCATTTTTCAAATATTTTTGAAATTTGAAAAGACCCAAGGCGAATACCGATTTTTAGTTGAAATTACAAGGCAAGTTTTTTCCTTCAAGAATGCCATTAAGGAGCTGATTTCTGTTGGAAATTTGATAAAAGCATTGATAAAAACCAAGAGAATTTTCAAGGTTCGAACAACTGTGGAGGGCAAACTCAAGATGGAAAAGATTGTTGGTTCTGATTTGATCACAGTGGACAGCTGCGTATCTAGTGCATGGACGGTTCGCGATACAGTAACCAATTACAAGGTAATTTCCATCAATAATTACCATTCATAAACCTACAGTAATCGCTAAGCGCTGAGTTTTTGTCGCAGCATATTGTTCGAAGCACATTTGCACTTGAAGAACTCTCACAAACCTTTTAATGTGAATGTTCCAGATTAAATCGACTATCGGAAAGAAGAGCCTCATTCTTGAAGAGGTAAGTTGCTTGTGCTGCAGAGAATTATAACTAACATGATCCATAATTCAGATCAAAGACGGACATTCGAAATTCAAGATCACATTGATAGAGAACGGTGAGACGAAGATGGAACGGGAGGCAACACTTGAAGTGCCTGAGTTCATGGTAAGAATTCTCGAAAACACTATTCTATTGAAATTTCTTGCACTATATAAATGGTAGTTTTCTTGTAAAAAGAACTAAAGACAAGGGTCTAGGGACGAGAAAAACCCTTCCCTTTGAAACCAAACTTTGTCGTGGTTTCACCAGCCAAAAAAATTCAACGTTTCCATACTAGAATCTTTACTTAAACCTAGCAATTACTCGCACTTCTGTAGACCCGTAAAAAATTTCTAACAGTTACATTGTTTGCAATTTTTCTCATATCAACATGGTGAGATTTTCTTATAACTTTCAATTGTTGATAAATCGGGTTTATTTTATTCCCGAGATGTGATTCTTGTTTCTGAAGATTAGTGTAAACAAAACTCAAAAATTCGAAATTGTTGTATTCAAAAATGCTTATTGTAGTGCTTGCTTGCGATTTTTTTCCATGAAAATATTATTTCGTCAAGTAGTCAATGACTTTTTCGTCTTCCTTCGCAACAAAAAAGTAGATAGATAATTTGTAACTGCATTTCTTTCCAGTCTTTCGAGGTAAGAGCTTCCATAGGATGAGGATACGGTGTACGGTGAAGTTCACAAAACATGAATCCGCTTCAAACCTGCGTCATCACTCCCTAACAACTACCGTAATTTCGAAGCACTAGGCGTACCTGGTCCAACATTTGCTTCAAAATGTAGTAATAGTTTTCCCATGCTTTAAGCGGAACAGTCTCCGATATAACGCTTCTAAAAGGCAACCTCAGCTTCCTTTATTATAGTTTTCAGTTTTTGTAGATTCTCACATGGGAACTCACTAACAACTTGACTGCTAAAAAATGTGTACTTAGGCTAATTCTAAATTTTGCAGAACAAGAAGGAGTACTTGTCGCAAGTTGGACAACGCCTCCTCAAAGATCTTCAGGAGCAAGAGGACGGCGAAGCGGTCAGTGCTGTCACCCACGTCGAAGTGGAAGTGGTCGAGGATGTCACAAACATCCTGAAGACGTATGTAATCGGCGAGCGAGCCGAAGATGCTCTGGAAGATTTACCAGCACATGCTCTCTACTACGAGGAAACTGTGTCCGAACCTCCAGTAATCGAAGAACCAAAGGTCGAGCGTATCTACATTGACACATTCGAACCAAAGATTGACGACGAGCTGGAGAAGTCCGAGATAGAACTGTTACAGGAAGGACATCACTTCGAAGGCCAGGGAACGCTAAGACGTTTGCGTCGACTGGAGACTGACGAATCTGTGGATGTAGCTGAAAAAGCACGTTGTGCGAATGTGTTCGCTGACTGCAACCTGATGAGGAAGCAGGACAGCTCCCACTTCACCGTCTACATCGCCCTACCTCTCGTGCAGACCATCTCGATGATCCTGTACAGGAGACGTTTGCAAAAGCAGCGGCAGGAACTCTCCAAGGCCTATGCCATGGAACAAGCCGGGCAGGTATTCGAGGACGAGACCACCCTTCGTCGCATCCGCCGAGTACAATCTGAAGAGGAAGAGCAGCAGAGGATGCTTAGCACTCACCAAGTGGAAACGCTCCAGAAAGCAGAGGTCCAGGAGATCAGCATTGGCAAAAAGATACTCGAGGTCAAGAAGGAAGAAGAGGAAGCTGAAGGCCGAAGCTATGAAATGGAGCAGCAAGGACAGCGACTTCATGGCGAAGCAGTTGTCAAGCAACACCATAGAGTGCTTGAATCGGAGTCCGACGAAGAGCTGGTAGCACCTATGGAAGTCGTTGTGCACGAGAGAGAAGCCGAAGGAGGTCAGTACGAGATGCACATGCAGGGCGTGAGCCTCAGAGGTGAGAAGACGTTCCGTCACACAGGCAGGATGTACGAATCGGAATCCGAAGAATCTGACTGGAACACTGGCTCACCCACAATTGTCGATCTGGTCAAGAAAGAGTCTGATTCTCACTTCGATATTGTCTTTGAGATGCCGAACAACTATGAGCCACTGACAATGTTCGTGAAGAGAGCTGTGATGAAGAAAGAATACTGCGAAGTTACCTCAGCTTTCATGGTGCCCAGTGATGATTCGGAAGCTGCTTCGGGCGTGAGGAAAGATAAGGCTATATGGAGAGAGAGCTTCAACGGCAAAGAGCTGAGCGAGCAATACTCCAACGTGACTGTGGGCTTACAAAAGCTGGCCAAACCCGGAGAACACGACAAGATGGCCGAGAACAACTTGGCCGCTGTTGCGCAAGCAAGGTCCGAAGCAAGATTCCGTGAGATGCGAGAAGAGCAGGCAGTTATGCTTTATGGCTTTGAGAATCTGAAGCCTACAACAGGTGAAGCCAGTGCGGTGCGAAAGGAGAGAAATTACAGCGGAGCCAGCTTCTTCACAGAAGCTGCAGAATTCGAGCACGTCACAGTCGGCACGAACTTGACGAATGCGGGTGAAATGCTCGGAGTGCAGAGCTCGTCCAAGACGCCCAATACCGTCAGCGCTTCTGGCCGCTTCAACGAGATGTCGCTGGAGCATGCAACGAGCGTGATCTTCCTTCAGAAGCAACCCGGACTACAAGATCAGTATGCTGAGAAGGTAGCGAAGGATAAGGCTGTTCGAGTAGAGTTTCTCCGAACCAAGGCCGCTTCCGACACCGCCATCAGCTCGCACTTGTCCCTGCAGAAGTCAGCCTCCTTCCCGCCTTACATGGATGCGCACAAGAGTATGGCGACGTCCAACAAGACCACTTCTACATTACGGGCATGGGCTTCCGAGAGCAGTACGATCATGTCGACATTGACACTCAGCAAGGGTGCCGCTAACCAGACATTCACCTTCAAAGTTCGCGACGCGAATCGCCAGGAGACGACAACGAACATCGCCGAGTTCGGCAACGCTCAGGAGAACTGTGCGGTGATGCTGAAAAACACCGGTGGAGTACACGGCAGCGCGATGGCCGCTATGGCCGAAGCGGTCTCAGGTGGGTTATTAGACCTAGACACTCGTACGACACAAAAAACCTTCCACCTCACCAACTTTAAAACGTTCTTACCACCACGTGGTGAAACACAAATAGCATGGCCACAGGCCACACTTAGTTCCGCCTCCTTCCATCTCTCAAAGCTTTCTGAGCACCATAAATTGCGTGATGAAAATTTTCATCAAGATTTGCGTATACGACGTAAAGATGCCGAGGCCGAGGTCACGGTGTACATCCTGTACAAGCGTGCTCTGGGCAATTTCGCCGTAGCCGCGCTAGGTCTGTACCTCGGCGAGCGCATCCGTCGAATTCAAGACCAGCAGCTGGTGCGGGATGAGCGCTCCACGTCCGAGCAGCGCTACGAGTCGCACACGAGCCGGACGGAGAGCCGGGACGAGTTCGAGCGTCTGCAGGAGAGCCGCCGTCTAATCTCAGGTGAGTACGGTGTGCATGCGCCCGCTTCTGCCCTCCCAGCACGGCTATCTAGGCACCTAATGCTCGCGGCATACTGTAGCATCTTTATTCGCCCTCCCTTATTTAGCCTACCCTTAGTTCCTCTGCATACCCCATACACTCCTTCGGGGGTAGAAGAACGAATTGCGCCATTTTCAGCCGCCTCCTCAAACAACTGGTCCTTTTGCGACGCTGATTCATGTCGTTTGAGGACCAGCAATCCGCGGAGGCGGCCCAAAAGGGCGGAGTTCATTTCTCTACCCCATCTTCGGTAGCTTAGAGAGTAGTTAGTGTTTAGCTCAACAACACTGCGTAAAGGGATTAGAGAACTTGCAGAACGGAGCTATTCGAAGGGTCATACGGTAACGCAGGAAGTGCTGAAGAGTTTGTGGCCGTGGGCCGATACAAATCACTAATGGGCCAGTGTTGCTAGGGCTTTCTTATCATTAGCCGCCTACCTAAGGCTTTAGACCTCTTAACATTTCCAAACAAAAACAGTTGAATCCTCCCCTCTGACTCAGCATGGCTTGATGCGATCTAATCTGCAGCTGAAATAATGCTTTTAACTAAATTTGAAACTTGATTTGACTGTAAAATCAGATAAAAGGTTGTTATTTTAGCAGGCGTGGAAAGAAATACAGCGGAAAATGAGAAAATGACAATGACAGACGCATCGCAATACAGACAAGCGCTAGCAACTGAGCAAACAACGCAAACAAAACTATCCAGCTCCGAGGAGGAGAAAAGCTCGTTTAGAGCTGAGACCTCTGGCGAATACGTTAGCAAAGGTTACAAAGTTGAGCAGAGAACGCTGGGAAGGTACAGTAGCGAGGAGAGGTCTCCTGTTCCGTGGCGGGTCGGGCACAGTGTGTCCGCCTCCACCCAAACAGTACACGAAGAGACAGCGAGTGGATTCTGGAGCACTCACGAGAGCGAAGAGTACGTCGTGGCGGATCTACCCGCAAGATCGAAGTCGGTAGAATTCGTGCAGAGACAGCTCACAGCTTCGTCTGGGGAATCGTTGGCAACAGATTCCGCATTCCTGTCGCAAACCAGCGAGTATAGAAGTAGAAGTGTCGAAGAGAAAGAAGCCCGCAGAATTGCCAAAGAGCTCAAAGGAGGCAGGAGCGTGGATGACAGTTCTACTCAAGAAGTCAGCAAGTCCGAGTTTGAAAGAGAGGAAAGATCCACTTCTAGAAGTGAAGTGACTTCCGATTTGCAGTCAAGTAGTTACAGTGAGCAAAAGACGGTTGAAATCAGAAGTACAAAAGAAATCCAAGATTTGGCATTCACTTCGGTCAGCCAAGAATCCACCCAGAATGAGCTTTTCTTTTGGAAACCAGAACAAGTTGTTGGTTTTACAGAAATCCTCCAAGAACGCCCACATACTCATGAGCATGTTTCCCGTCACTACAATGATGAAATTGCCGAACTACTTGGCTCAATTTCGTCTCTCACCCCGCACACTCCCGAATCCGAGCAAGTCTCCATCTCTGTCAGTGAGATCCCCACATTCAAAAGGGAAGCATCGTTGAGAGCTTCTTCGGAAGAAGTGGTCGAAGCAGAGACCAGAATGATACGCGAAGAGAGTCGCATAGCGGCAGAATTGGCCAGAAGAATGGGCCTCAAGGAGCAAGTCTCGTTAAGCAGTCCAAGTAGCAGAGAAGCTTCAGTGACGTTGAGCACAGCTTATCACACAGATAATTTAACTGAAGCTCGTACTCAGTCCACCTTGGCTGAGGTGCTAAAGGAAGTGATTTCATTGTTATCTTATGCTCCTCGCGAAGAATCCACATATTCCTCCTATAAAACAGGCGAAAGCGAAGACACAACGGGTGCTATTTGTGAAAAAAGTCGAGTGTCAGCTGCGGCTTCAAAAGCTATGGCAGCTACTACTGAAAGTGCGGTAGAAAATGAGCATAGAATGCAAAGAAACCAGGAACAAGAGTCTTCAGAAAGAACTGAGAGGTTTTTTGCCACTACAACTGAGCAAGCCGAGGGCAAATTCGAGATTTCTGTCGGGGAAAGCAACGTTTTATTTGTGTCCTCACCCCAGAAAGCTGGCGAAACAGCAATCCTTCCAAGCAGCACCGGAATTTCAGCCACTGCTAAAGTACACGAAATTGGTAAAGTATCTACAGAGGTAGGAAGTCTAGCTTCCATCATCTCTGCGCCACGACCGGCCTTCGAAGAGGCGATGCGGACGCTGCCCATCAGAAGAGTAATCCTACTCGGAATTCATACCAAAGCAACCAAAGAGGAAGTCGCCGAACTCCTTAGCGAACTTTCCAACCATGAGGAGTGTGCTGAGATCAGCATGATCAAGGCGATAGTGCTGCGATCAAATGAAACCTTGAGCAGCGCCGCAGTTGCTACTTTGACTGCGGCTGTTTCGGAAGCTTTCAGGAAGCCATCAGAGTCGCGGAGTATTGCGGCGACGATCGCTCAGAAATTGCGAGAACAGCTTGAGGTCATCAAACGTTACGCTAGTGAAGAAACAGCCACTGGAACATGGGTCAGTGCTGCTGACTCAGACTCCGCTACATCTTCCTGGCCATTGATCAGCAGAGATTTGCTGGAAGGGAGGATGAAAGCAGCAGAGTTCAATTCTGCGTCCGTGGAGTCTGTCTTAGCCAGAAGCGCGAAGGAAGAAGTGCTACATCTACGACGTCTAGCCATAGCAGAGTCCACCCAGAGATTGTTCTCTATCGAACTGGAGAAGACCTTGGCGGAGTTAAGCTCCAAACTAACCCAAGAAGAAACAGCTCTCACAAGATTGCCTTTGGAACAAAGGATGCAGGTCCAAGCCGCAGTCTCAGAATACGGTAACGCTGCAGCATTCGGTCAAGGTACGGTAGGTACCATAACACAACCCAGTGAGCAAAGCGAATCAACCGAGGAAATTCTGCAAAGATACCAATTGCTGCAGATGGCCTACGCTGCCAAAGCTACGAAAGAGGAGCAGGTTCAGTTGGAAAAGGTATTGGAACATCACCAAGATGAAGAAAGCATCAGAAAAATTCTGGAAGCCTTGCGCAAGGAAAAAGTGCATTTCAGCAGTTTTGCAACGAGAACTTTGACCAGAGCTGTGGAAAATGTGATCGAAAAATTGCCTGAACAAGAAGGGCGCGAAAAGATCGTAGCCGAAGCAGTCAAGATTGTACTGAGTTTGGCCATACGTGAAGCCGTGGACGAGAATGCTTTCGCTATGATCAAGAGCACCGAAAGGACTTCTGAGACGAGTTTGATGCTCACGTTGGCTTCAGTGGAGTCGTTAATGGGTAATTTTGAAGCTGCCAGGGAAGAAGAAACTCAGATGCAAACCGATATCGAATGCACATCCATTGAGGCTGTTGCGAGAACATTTCCAGACATTTCGAGAGCTTTTTGGAGCCAAAACTTCAAAGCTGAGGAGCAGAGGTTGACTGCAGCATTTGCGAAAGATGTACAAGAAGCTGATCTATTGGAAACGCTAGCAGACAAGGTTAGGTGCAAGATCACAGGCTCAGCCAGAGAGTTTGGAAAGGAATCCATACAAGTTCAAGGAGAGTTGAAAATTGTTGGCGAGCATCCAAAGGCCGAAGTAGAAATCACCAGGCAACAGCGTAGGTACCTCCAATTCCTTCATGGAGTCCGCGCCACAAAAGAAGAACAACAAAAGCTTGTCCGACTGCTTAGCAGATTTGAAGATCAGAAAGACGTCGCAACAGTGCTACAAGATCTCAAAAAGGAGAGGATAGTCTTCAGCGGATTGGCGACAAGATCTATCGTGGCATCACTGGAATATGAGATTCAGAAAGCTGGTGATGCAGCTGACGTCAGCAAAAGAGTATCGGAAGCGCTACGTTGCGCCGTCGCTCGAGTAGTTAGAGAAATTGTGGAGGAAAATGTTTTCAGCATTCTCCAGATGAAAAATGCGATGTCCACGGCTCAGTTGGCTGTCACCCTTTCGTCGCTGACCAAGGCTTGTGCTGATGTTGAAGCGCCTAAGGAATTCTCGACTTCGTCGGACGTAGAACTTGTTCATTCGGAAGTGGAGAGCAGAGCTTCAACTCTTCCAATGCGAGTGACCGACGCTACGCAAAGAGACTTCGCAATCAATCTGCAAACTCTCACAAACATTCTGGAACATATTGCAGAGGAATGCAGGACAACTGGCACAATCTCGACAGGGCTGCGTACCAGGGCAACAGCTCAAGCGAGAGAATACGGTAGCGAAACCGTTAAGACCGAAGTGTCCCTACAAAGAATGCAAGGATCAGCGGGAGAGGATTTGGATGAGGCTGAGTACAAGCAGATAAGACCACGAGGACTTCTGGCTATGCACAGCGTGAAGGCTTCTAGTGAGGAGAGCGCCCAATTGGTACAACTGCTAGAGAAGTACGAGGAAGACGAAGAAGTTTCAAGAATAATTCAAGAACTGACTTCGGACAGAGCTACGTTTACCAGTTCTATGGTCCAAGAGATGATCACATCTGCAAAAGGATTTGAGAACTACGCTCAATCAGCTAATGCAAATCAAACTATCAGCCAGGTTCTCCGCGAAG